CTCCACCGGTATCTGTGACATCCACTGATACTAGGTAGCTCTCTCTACAGAGTCGGAATTGGTCTCGCAGGAGTCAGGTCCTGTCCCAGCAGACCACTCTGGATATTATCTACTCCGGGTTGCTCAGACGTATATCATATAATATCCTAGTACCTAGATAGTAAACAAATTCTGTATACTCATGACTTGTGTCGGACTCGGCCCGAAGGCTAGACCGGCCGCGGCTTTGGATGACCGCGCCTGTTTAGCCTCAAATCCACCCACTCCGATTCGTGGACTTTACACTGAAGTAGGAGGAGTAATCTAATAGAAAGAGAAAACAAAATAAAAATAAACATCAGAAGCGAGTAGATCGAGTTACAAAGTACGAAAGCACGAAAGTGTACTCCATAGAGGGGGAAGGGAAGCAAGAGTAGGTACAGTGTAATGGTAATACGATAATACCCATACACATCCATACCAGCGGAAACCGCAAAGTGTTGGAAGAGTCGCAGACATATCATCTTCACTTCACTCCACTCCAATTCCCTTTCTCTTTTTCTTCTCTCTCTCTCTCTCCTCCCCCAATATCTATCTCCTTGTCGTGACCAACTCGTTTCCTCCCATTCTTTCCATTTGCTCAATCGCCTTATTGAGCATTCTTTTCCCCCTTCCTGCAGCCTCCGCTCGGCGCCACACCCTCCGCCTGTCGCATTCTCCCGGGGCATGAGCGTCTGGAGGGTCTAGCCCCCCCCTCCAACGACTCGAAACGACTCCAGACAAGGACAATTTGGTTATACGGGGTTGGAATTTTATGTGAAAGACCTTTCCTCAAAGATCCCCGCTTATCCCACATCGATCGGCCTTGTCGATACAGACCCTGGTCGCGGGCTGCGCCATCCTGCCAATCGTCTTGCTTGGCGTCACTCGATCATCTATTCTCGACAAGGGTCTCGTTTACGGCGGGTACGGGGGAATTCCAATTCAAACCGTTTGATTCATTTCCATTCGGTGGTGGGCCAGCTTGATCTGATCTACTTCTCTCTCCCCCCTCCCTTGCCTCCCCCTCCTCTTCTCTCCCCTCCAATACTCCCACTCTATGGAGGGTATCAACCATGCCGGGCATGGGGCCGCCCGACCGCAGAATTCCGGCTTGCCTTTCTTCGGTCTCGACGACCCTCACATGATTCCCGATGACTTCTCCTTCGGTTCGCCCTTCAGTCCGACCGATTCCAATCAATCCAATACCAACGACAATCCCCTTCAAGATTCCATTTTTCCGGAGTGGAAGACCGGTGCCCCGCGCGGTGGCGACAACCCCAATGAATTGCAGAAAGAAGATCCCTTGGCTGCTCAGATCTGGAGGCTCTACACTCGAACAAAGTCCCAACTTCCAAACCAGGAGCGCATGGAGAACTTGACCTGGCGAATGATGGCCATGAGTTTAAAACGCAAGGAACGGGAACAGTTGGCTTTGGCTCAGCAGCAGCAGCAGCAACAACAACAGGCGAGGTACCTTGGCCCCATCTCACCCCCATGTCTCTTCCCCCCTCCCCTCCACAAAAATCCCACAGTGAAATCCGGGGATGCACCTTACTCACCTTGGCTTGCAGAACCACACAAATGAACACCGAAGACGATAGCCCCGCTCCTAGTGGTATCGCGCAGCTACGTCTATCCGACCACGACCACCAGATGAATATGGACACCACCCCGGATGCCATGAACCTGGATGACTTTATCGTCCCGTTCGACTCGCCAGTCGATTATTCCTCACATCCCGCCGTTGACCGCCACTTCACCGCGACTCCTACCGCGGCCTCCGCGTCGATCCCTATCAAGTCCCGTAAAGATCATCAGCAGCAAATGGTCGATTCTGCCGTCGCAGCGTCATTCCCACACCCTCAGCCAGACCAACGAAAAAACAGCGAGTTTGGTTATGTGACTCGCCGAGTGCGAAAGACCAGTGTGGACGAGCGCCAGTTCTTTGCCGGCCTCGCTGTGCCCACTCGCAAGCGACCCGCAGAGGCATCTCCTCAGGTGCCTCCCGTCTCGAACGCCATGATGGCACAGCACGCTGGGCTGACGACCGGCTTGCCGGATTACTCTCTGGATCAACCCTCCGCCTTCACCATGCCCGGAAATGGTACCGTTGGAGGTGGCCCACGGCGTCATCAGCATCATCATACAGCGTCCGGCATTCCTTTCAGTCTGGACACTTTTGGCATGGGCGATGACTCTGGAATCCACTCGGCTGGCCCGTACCAGCAGCATTTCACCTTCTCGCCCTCCGACTCTCCCATGACCGCCAGCAATCCGTTCACCAGTCTTTATGCGCAAACACCACTTGCATCTTCGCTCAACTCAACAGAGTTCTTTTCTCCGCCACCATCAGGATACCAATCAACGGTTTCTACCCCCCCAGCCGATCTACGAGGGAGAGCAGTCCATTTTCTTCAACGATGCGTCGACAGCCGAGTCTCAAACACATCGCCGAGTGCCCAACTATATCCAGCAACGGTCATCCAACTTGTCGGCATCTCTGCAACCGCGTCATATGTTTAACTCGAACGGCGAGTACCAGTCACCGGTGGCAGGTCAACCAACGATTCACTCGGCTGGATTCTCTATGCCGCAACAGCATGTCGACCCGTCACATGTGCTCGGAAATGGCGAATATTCTACCACCGCACCCTCCGGCAACATGTTCTCTTTTGGTGGTGACTCGGATAATGAAGATGACGACAACCACACTTTTGAGCGTGGGGGAATTGCCATGCCGAACGATTTTCCCTCCATGGACGACCCCAGCGATATTGGTGCTGGCTTGACCTGGGATGCAGGATTTCCTGGGTCTGTCCAGTCCTTACCGGGATTTACCGGTCAACATCGCAAACATGTCACCATTGGCTCTACTGACATGATTGACGGTCCTGGGGAATGGCAGCACGCGGGAAGCTTGGGTCGTGGTCATGGGTCGGCTGCTTCAGTCAGTGACGTGCGCAATCGTGATCGTCAGCAGAAAATCGCTCGCACCTCCTCCACCCCCAACGCTCAACAGCTACTTCGCCAGAGTATGAATGGACAGAGTAGCCAGCCTCCCACGAACCACCCATCGCCTAGCACCCCTCCTGAATCTGGTCTTAGTAGCGCTGTGCCTTCGCGCCCACCGAGCCCTGGTGGTTCTAAGAATGGTGATCCCAACGCCGGCCCCACGGCTTGTACGAACTGCTTCACCCAAACCACCCCGCTTTGGCGACGCAACCCTGAGGGTCAGCCTCTGTGCAATGCCTGTGGCCTGTTCCTGAAGCTCCATGGCGTAGTCCGCCCCCTCTCCTTGAAGACAGATGTTATCAAAAAACGCAACCGCAGCAGCGCCAACACCTTGGCTGTTGGCTCTTCCCGCTCCTCCAAGAAAACATCTCGAAAGAACTCCATACAACAAGCTTCTCTCAGCGCAGTTGTCTCCCGTGCCCCCAGCAACAACGCATCCGAATCGCCGCCTGCGATTGCAGGATCCAGCACTGCAGTCAAGTCGGGCGTGGTTCCGATCGCCGCCGCTCCCCCCAAAGCTGGTCCTCCCGCTGGTGTTGCCCAAGCTCGCGCTGGTGTGCAAGTAGCACCTCGACGGCAACGCCGCCTCGAAAAGGCACCCACAGGATCTGAACAGGATCTCGAAGACAACTATAGGGTCAATGCGCCAACCAGCCGATCCAAGGTCGTTCCTCTAGCGCCAGCAATGCCACCACCCGCAGCCGCCAACCCGGCCAATCACAGTATCGCAGGTGGCCAGGGTGCGAGCCAAGAATGGGAATGGCTGACGATGAGTCTGTGAACGATTTTCTCTATTTTTCGGTTCGCCGACGCTATTTCGTTTTTTTTGATTTCATTTCTCGAGTCGATGCGACCATGACGGGGCAGACCACCACTCCTCTAATCTCATTCATACACGACTAATGTCCTCCCGGTGGACCACCAATATCTTACTCCAATCCGCATCGCATCGTATCGCATTCGTGGTTCCACTCATGCTATCTCCTGTTCTCTTCCACCGAGCCATTTTTTTATCCACTTCTTTCCCGTTTGTCCTTGTTACGTGTGTTTGATGATCTCTGTGATTTGATTGATACAATCGCGTCTGTCCGGATCCCGAACTGATTGTTCTGTCCTGGTTTCTCTTGTTCTTCGTTCTGCTTTCTTATGTGCAGTTCGGGACTGGGCAGAAGTGCGCATCTCTCCTGGCTTTTTTTCTTTGATTTGATTCCATTCTATTTCTGATTTTGATGTTCTCCGATGTCTATTCATGGTATTTATGCAACGCTAGCCCTGGTGTGTTGGGTTTATTATTTTCGATTTTATTAGACTTCAATTTGATGATGATTTTTACGACTGCCTCTGTCCGCCATCCTCCAAGGTATGTTCCAAGGTTCGCTAGTATAGTTGAACCTTATAAACTAGAAAACAAAGTCAGAATAAAATAAGAAAGTTCCAAGGTTGAATCTTAGAATTCGAAGGGTTCTACTAGAAATTAGCAATTGTCTACTGTCGAAGATCAATAAAAGAGCACTTGTAGCATTATCTAGGTATGAAGCTATGGAGGAGCAGGCTCAGTACCAAATATTTAAATGCCTATCTAGGTAAATAGGTTTATTCCATCGGATTCGACAGCCGCTAGCCAAAAAGATCGAAAATCATCATGATGATCCATGGATGAGTTTTGCTGCTGTGAACGAATCAGACCAAATACAGGGAGTATTACACGGCTAAGCTAATTGCTGTCTATCTACAGAAATATTGTCTCTGAGAACTAGGATACTACCACCAGCGCAGTACTAGTTGAGTAGTACCTGTCCCCTTTTACACGTCCTTTTTTAATTCCGCACACAAGAAACGATGTCACCAAATTGAAAACAGTTTTACGAAGTAGAGTTGTTCCACCAATCGAGTCCCGAAGATTGATCTCCACCCCACTTGCTAGATATACCATCTCGATATTTCAGACCAGACGTTGGCATAAGACTTCACATAATTCGAGACGCAACCTGTGAATTCAAGACTTCTTCTGGCCGAACGTGTCGCAGGAGATCTTTTGCATAAGCGGCCGCCGTCGCCGTCGCATAGTTCTGCCAATGCTTATTTTTATGGTCATCAGAATAGTTGGCAATTCCCCTGATGATAACGCATGGAAATCTATTCCCAGATCCCGCGGCTTCCATTTCGAAGCAACGTACACCCCATGTGTCTCTCAAACGGTCACGGTGGGCAGCAGACCTCATGGTAGCATTGCCCGATGCTATGAGTCCATAGTGTACAGCAGGGTGATTTGATTGACGCTCAAGTCGCGGTTGCAATGCAGCCGTTCCACAGGCTGAGCAATCACTCCCTTCATTCCCTTTGTGCAGATGAGATGGCTTGTATAGCCGATCCTGGCCACGGCCAGGAAAGCGAAATTCCGGTGCTGCTGATCTGCTGAACTTTGTGGCCGCGATCTGGAAGTAATCCATCATCTTGTCAAGTCTTGACTGGTGATCTGATTGGAGTGCTGCCATAGCTCCTAACAAATACCTGGGTGGACCTTCTAGGTGAGATCGGATCTCAAAATTGTCATCACCAGTCCACCGGCCTTTGTCGTATTGTACTACTCCGCCTGGTGTGTGTCAGAAATTGAACCCACAACAGATGGGAGAAATCAAGAAGCTTGTAGCCAGGCTTATTTAGATCTTACCGTGAGATTGACTGGGCTGACTGACCACAACATCACCAAGTCGAATGTCATTTAATGGATTGGTAGGATGGGGTGCTGAAGGCGCTCCTCCTCCAGTACCAACCATCAACCCAAATCGAATATTATAGAACGTTCGAGTCATATGCGCCACGGTGCAGGCGATGGCAACCGGGCCAGAAGATGCGACAAGAGGAAAGGCAATCACCAAGTAGTGACTTCCCATTCGCCCAACAATGTAACCGTTCTCGTCCTTTGGCTGTGGCGGTGGTGGTGCATATTCTTCATCCAAAAACCTTCGAGAGATATTGACTTCTGCAGTATTGGCACAAAGCCAGCCTACAGTGTAGGCACTGCAATCGAATTGCTGATTCATTGGTCGACTCATAGCAGTAATATTCTTGAATTTGACCGTTTTGGACTCCTTCAGAAAAGGAGACTTGGAGGATTTTCGCGGATATAAGTAGGGCCTCGCCAGCTTCAGCCAGATGCAAGCTAAGCTTGAGCGCCAACCTTGAAACTCATCATGCTGGATTCAGCAATTAAACGATTAGGACTCATGCGATGACTGAAATAGAGGCCAATCATGAGGGAGATGATATTTCCAAAATAATTTACCGTAGAGGACTCGTTTGAGTTGTCGCGCGCGTAGATCCAAATGTACTTTGCATAGATCCGTATTAGTTGTATCGGGAATACCGTACTTTACACCAAAATAACCGATAAGGTAAAATTCGCCCGAGGCCGTTATCAAAGTCACGTGGGTCTTTCGTATCTCAAAAAAAAAAAGCTCCGCGGCCTCAATTCGACATCACCACAAATCGCAGCCATGGGTTCCAGCTCAAAAAGAAAGAAGGAGAAGCAGAAGGACTTTCAGGTGAGCCAAATTTATATACTGAAACTGATATCCCACTTTGGAAAAACCATACTGACTGTGACGCCGTAGAAACCCAAGCTGAAGGTCGGCAAGGCCAGGGCTAAGCCGGAGAACTTCACCGATACCAGTTTCAAGTCCAAGTGTATGCATCGTCACCTTGTCCAATTCACCCCTTAATAGCTTGACTGACTTGGAGTCCAGCCATTGTCCTCAACCAACAATCCTTACACCTCAATGCTCCCTCCGCCAACAGTGTCTTCACCCACAATCTCTCTCTCCTCTCCTCCAAATCCGACAGCCAACGTCGAGACTCCCTCGCATATCTCACCAGCTCGATCGCATCGCGCCCTGTCAACTCTTCCCTCCCTCAGCCAGTGAGCGTGATGCTTCCATCGCTCCTCCCCCTCATCCTCGACGGAAACACAAATGTTCGCACTCAACTCCTCAAACTCCTCCGTACCCTGCCCCGCCACGACATCGAAGACCATGTCGCGCAGCTCCTCCCCTACATCCGCGCCGGAATGACCCATCTAGCCGCAGATATCCGCGTATCCGCTGTGGAAATCCTGTCTTGGATGGTCGAGGCCGCGGGCGAACAAGTGGTTTCCTGCGCCGGCGGGTGGATCAAGACACTCAATTGTTTTCTTTCTGTTCTTGGATGGCACACGGAAGAGTCCTCAAAGTGGTCGTCGAACCGCGCATCATTCGGCAAGTCTGGAAGCCAAGGCCGACCGATGGTGAAGGTTCTCGGCGCACTGGCTGAGTTCCTCGATGCTGGAATCGGACAGCACGACGCTGGTGACGATGAAACACTAGAGGATGACGGCTCTTCCTCGAAATGGCCCTTCCCACTGTCCTGCACCGGTCAACATATGATCTCTGACTCGTCTGCGCCGTACGCCTACCTGAACCTTTTCGGACAGCCCCGCGACGCCGAAGGTGAAATGTACGAGACACGCGAGGACCGATTCCGGGTCTTCTCCAATCGTTTCATGCCTGCCATTGAGCGAGGTGTCAAGAGCGCCAGAGAGGAGGGAGGTGAAATGGGTCGTGCTTCGTCTGGTGTCAGCAAAGTGTTGAAAGAAGCAATTTTGTATGGACCCGGTGCATGAAATTGACATTCCCGGCGAGGCACAATACGCCAATACCAACCACCGGCAGGTGTCGTTGTTTCAAAAAAAAAGCCCCATTCTAATCGACCTGCTCGTTTGGGTGCTCGTAAGAGCTCCGGCGTTCCTTTCCTGCGCCAAGGACATTGCAGATGAACATGGCTTCTCGATAGAATGATCTTCTTGTCCCGCGCCGCCTCGGTTGACAAGATGGAGACGCTAGAGGTCCATTCCTCCACGTCGAAACGTGACTGGAAGAAGGTGTCAAGGAGGACATAGCACAAGGGCCGACCTAACCAAGATACCCATGTATAGTGCATAGAAATACCTAATGCATCAAATCCTATAACGAAGAAATTGAATACGCTTCTCAGTTCGCAAGATCTTCAAATTTGTCCAGTTAAAATTTCCCCTCTTTTTTCTTTACATACGCCCTACTAGTACCACTTGTAAGAGTAGAACTCGTACTGAGGATCATGTTAGTTATACTACACATATCTCTGACCCTTATATTCATTACTTGATCTTGTTTCCAAAATTATTTGCTGGACCGATTGCTACTTTCAGCCGAACAATTTAAAATTCCCCTCCAATTATGTTGAGATAGCCTTTGGGTATTTACAATCCCTGGATTCGTTTCCAACTCGTTTACAATCGGCTAAACAATCTTCGCGCCGAAATCACCGGGCAGCTGCTTCTCTACCGCCGGAGTCGTTGCTTTCTCCGTGCTACTAGCATCTGTATCCAAGCCCTCCACGACAGCGTGAGTATCGGCCCCTTCGTAGACTTCTTCGGGTAATATCGCGCGATCAATCTTCGTTTCCTGAGCAGGAAAGGACCAAGATAGGACTAGATAAACCAGGGCCGTCGCAAAGAAGCCCAATAACCAACCGAATTGATACGGATGCACGCCTGCTCCCACAACAACATTCGGGTTGACCGCATTGATGAGACCAGGCAAATTGGGAGCAACACCAACAAGAAAGGCGACAAGAGCGCGCCAATTTATGCCATGTATTGATCGTGACAAGCCGGGAACTTTCAAGTTATAACGATATATCGGGTTCCAGGGCTGATATAACGCCAGAGAATCGTATCGCCGACGATTGACGACCCAAAAGTCAAGTAACATGATTGCCGCAATGGGACCGAGGAAGATCGCATACGCAGACATGAATGTGAGAAAGTTACCCGCTGATGCCAGAATCTTCCAAGGTACCAGGGCCCACGATAATATGGCACAGAGTATCTGGCCACGACGAATGTTCAATACCTCGGGGGCAAGGGCTGTGAAATCGTTGGCGGCGGATATTGAATTGGCCGAGATATTAACACCGAGTGATGCGAGGGCGAATGAGAAAGCGGCAAAGAACCGACATGCCCGGTTTGGCCAGTAGCTGATAAGAACCAATGGGTCCCAGGGGAGCTCTGCTAGATTATAGTGGGCTTGACCAGCTGACGAAGCGGCAATACCAATGAATGAGATGAAGGTGAAGACGATTGGTAACATGGGAATATAGAGAAGTTGCCATCGAGGGCTGACGCGCGAGTAGCGGGAGAAATCTGACTGTCTGAGAGTTAGTCGGACGGAGTTCTGAGAATAAAGTATAGATATTTCTCGAAAGAAAGAAGAAAGCTGGAGAAGGACGAAGGAATGATCATCGTGAAAGATGATGAGGTTTAAGATTTTAAGCTTAAATCAAGAGTGGAAGAGTGGATACACTTCAACTTACCTGATTAACACTGAGTGTGGCATAGTTCCCCAGCACACTAGTCATGTTGGCCAGAAATAACCAACTATAACTCGATCCAGAAACAGAAGGCTTTTGCTGTTTGAAGACACCTCCGCCACCTTTCTCTGCCACAAAGGCCCAAATCAAGATGGCGATCCAGGCAATGGGAACCAGCACGGATTTCACGGTAAATAGCCAACGCAGTCGGTTAGGATGTAAGCAGAGAAAAGGTAGTTGGACGATCCAGAAAATGAGAAATCCGATCATCGTGTTAGTCGTGATGCCCTGAGATTCAGGAATATCATTGTGCAGCGTCAGATAGCTCGGCCAGATGGCCCCGATCATGACTCGAACCGCATTGGCCCCGTTTACATTTTGAATCGAGAACCAAAATATCGCAAGAATCAGTCTCGAAATGATGGCAATATACGATCCCCAGAAACCCCAGCTGGCACGCGCAATGACGGGGAAAGGAACGTGGTAAATGGCGCCGACCGCGCCGTTCCCCGCAATGACGAAGGACATGATGAAGAAGGAGATGGCCACAATGGCAAGCGCTTCGCGATAGGTCAACCCGACGGCAATAATACTACTGGCGAATTGCCAAGTAGCAGCGTTGAAGGCATCGGAAATCCAGTAAGCTAGGGATGACGATGGTGAGTGCAAGATGGAGTACAAGGTGGATCAGCGTGGCATACCTATGAGACTAGCAACTCCCCACTTGCGATCAAGACGAGCAATCGGGTCAAGATCACGATTAGTCCAACGGGCATTCCCCTCCGCAAAGGCCGAGCGAGCCTTTGCGACGCGGAGATGAGGCCGAGAGAGCTGCATGGTGCATCGGAACCAGAGGGATTAACGACCAGTACCTACTACGATGCTTCAGAGTGTACAATATGAAGGGGAAGAGAAGAAACGAAGAGGAGAAGAGGAGGAGAAGTAACTCCTACAGAGTGAAGATAAAGAGGGGCGATATTAAATGATCATCTTATTGGAAGTAACCATGGGATACGTTGAATCGTGGTAGATAAGATAGTAAGACGCTGCAGCTGATTGGATGCAAAGATGCATGAGATCCCTCGTGTTCACCTCTCCTCTGCCTCAGCTCAGCTCTCGCCATCCTTTCAAACTCCTACTGATCATTCAAAAGCATCTTCTTATCGCTGCTTCTCCCCTGGAAGCCGCACATCTTCCCATCCACGTCCATCCCCAACGGAACTCGACCACTGCCGAATCCCCTTCCACTCCGTCACATCCATCCACCCGATCTGTTGCACATCACCAAATCCTCCGATCCAGTATGCCTGTGTGACTACCAGTCGGGCCCAGAAGCTCGCATGCGGCGAACGCGATGCACCGGGCAGCCACACCTTCGCGTCTGGGTGCGACCGCAGGAAACACTTCTCTAGTGCCACGGCATCGTGGTGTGAGAGCGAGGGCAAGGGGTCGAGATATCCGAACAAAGTGACGCGAGGCAAAGCAGCAGGACTCCGAGGCAAACCGGGATAAACAGGCACAGCTTCTTCAAGGTGCTCCCACCAGTCCAGTTCGAGGGTAACGTTCGATCCAGCCCCGATATTGCGGAAAGTGGTGGCGATGCGAAGGGCGAGGATGGTTGGGTCACCGTTATCTCCGAATGAAAGTTTGTCGGGCAGGGCTCTGTCACAGTCGGCAATGTATTCGCGTAGTCCGATAGGAAGACCGGCGACGGAGGCTGGAGTGCGCGAGTTGGGTGGAATCGGATCTGGGAAGACGGTCGAGATCACTCCGGAAGAGGAGAGAGCCAGCATGCGGCGGGCGAGGAGAGCGGATTCGAACCAGGTAGGGCGAGTGAAGGCATTTTCTTTGTGTTCGTGGTGTGAGTGAGCGCTGGGGTTGCTCAGGATGGCCTGCTCGTTGGTGGGAGGCAGGACCGAGGCGGAGATGAGAGCACCGAGAGCGAGTAGCCCGGTGAAGGGTTTGAAGAACATGGTGTTTGATCAGACTGGAGTGTAGTTCAAGAGTCGAAAGTAAAAGGCAAGGTTGAAGGGAAAGAAGAAGGTGAAGGTGAAAGTGAAGGTGAGTAGGTGGGGTGCGGAGAATCTCGCCGGGTCCGGCCCGCATCGTCTGATCTTATCAGATTAACATGCATCCATGGGATTATATGCATAGTATGATGGTAGCTACTACTCATAGATACTATAATTCTTCTATATGACCCTATGAATCTCGAGTATATAAAGCATCAGTATAACTAGTTGGAAATAGTAGTAACTAGTATTCCTGGATCAGCATGACCCTCTAATCCAGTCACGCGCTGTCTAGTACTAAAGCTAAATTGGAGATGGCAAAACTTGGAATTTACAAGGTTGATTCATGGTTATGCAGAGCATAGAAATAGTATGTCATGGAATTTACCATCAAGTGCTAAGGCTCATACTCGAGTATACATACATGTATACTATACTAGTCGTACCATCTAGTTTCAAAACTGGAAAATTGAAAATTGAAAATGGAGTAGACTCTAATCCTCCGGGCTCTCGAGGGCATTGGCCTCGCTCGAAAGTGGGGTAGTAGTACTAGAAGTATGATGACGAGTGAAGGGCCTCGGAACAAAATCTAGCGAATCATCAGCGACTACTAATTTGAACAGCATCACCTGATAACATGATTCGAGATTGCTCGGAGTATTAGCAGCACCATACTCATAGAAAAGTAGTACTCTTGGAACCATGAGGCTACTAGATACTAGTATACAACCCTGGGCTTCAACAGTTTCTTGACTTAGTAGGCTCCACGGATCCCTTGCGTTTACTCCTAGTAGTATATGGATCACGCTATTTTTGCAAGGTAGTGTTTTATGATTTTAAGTTATATCTTCAATAAAGATCATAGTACTAGTAAATAGTAGTATTCTTTCTGTCCTACAACCTTGAGTGTATTTTGGGCCACGTGCGCCCGGTTCGGGGACTCGGCCATAGTGGCGGGCAACCAGAGAAGTGAGTATACCACACTACTAATACAATCAAAACAGTATAAATCAGTACTGTCAAAGCTGTAATGATTGTAAAATGGCAATATAATTATAATCATATTTTTGAAAATCAATATAAATGAGTTGTGGTGAATTCCGACCGTGATTACTACTCCTACTTAGTAATACTAGTGAGGACCTTGTGAGAGTGAGGACCTTGGGGGCAACTCCCCCACAAATGGACCAAATTCACGCAAATCCATTGGACTGGCCTTGGGGCAACTTTATTTGGACCTCTGTTGGTCATTTACGTGCTATCTATACTCTGAGGAAGTACTGTCTTCCATCTGGTTGGCCTTGGGGCCTTTGACACCTCCAATAGTAATGCCTAGCCTCCAATTGACTCTCAGAAGTCCAAATTTCTCTCCTAGGAGGCCATAGAATCCTTGGCAAATGCCCTAGTATGATGATTGTTCGGGCAAGGAATTAGGTGGTTTAATGACCAAACGGAGAATTGAAAATAGAGCTCGCTTCCCGGTAACAAGCTTCAACTGAAAGTATCTGGTAAGGCTTGTTTATCACCCTGGACTTATTATAGCCAAGTTCTAATGTCTAAGATAAACACGAATTCAAGTTAGACAAGTGGCTTTATACTCTTATGCGATTTGTTATATAGAGGAACTTGTGGCACAAAAGCAAGGTCAAGTCGACCTATGTACATATTGTTTTCTCATACTAACTAGTTTGAATCTCGTGTTACGTATGCCACTTCGGCTTCAAAGAGAAAACATTGATATTTCACCACATTTCACTCATTAGATCGTGTCTCGATATTGAAGTCCATATAGAGTATATGATACGGCTTATTTTTATGGATTAGATAATGTTCATCTGAAATGATAGCTCTTCATACTAGCAAAAGATAGAGAACGAAACTAGCCAACATGCAAGAAGGTTTGCAGGTGACGTGGCTGAGTGATGAGCCATTTTTGTTTACCTCGGGTGATCCATATGATTATAATCGGCCCAACTCATCTCGATTTAATTCATCCGCCTCATTGGAAGAATATGATGGGGCCAACTTGAGGTGGAATGATTGGAATAGAAGAAGATACTTATGCTAATCCTATTTCGTCAGTTCAGGTACCTGCAAGAAACGAGCAATGGAAGACCCTGGAAGGTATCTGAGTGGGGATCTGGTCCGCGCCACCCAAACAATTTCAGTCCGAGAACCGATCCTCCTCAGGCTAAGGGGGTGAATTGTGTGGCCTAACCTCCTAGCATTTCTCGTCTTGCATCCACAACCCGCAAATTTTCATTTTCTCTCAGAAGCTACCAACATTGCTGGCCTACTTTCAAACATGGCGTTTCATTTGACTCAGTCTCAGCGTTTGCAGCTGGTCATCTCTATCTCCTTCTGCTTCTTTGTCGCGGAAATTTCCGGTATGAACACAAACAACTCCCGCTCATTATTCGGATTTTGACTCTAATCACCGCAGTTGGATTCTACACCCGTTCTCTGGCCCTTGTGGCAGATGCATTCCACTATGTGTGATAACCTATGCCGCTTTATACAATGTCTTTCACTGGCTAACCTGTCCAAGCTAAATGATCTCATCGGATTCATCGTTGCTTTTGCTGCTTTGCAGGTAGGTGCCATGATTCTCAGCCACCCCCGCTCTTCTCTGACATCAACCAGATATCCGCAAAGAAAGATTCTCCCAGCGACCTATCCTTTGGCTGGCAGCGATCCAGACTTCTGGGTGCCTTTTTCAACGGCGTTTTCCTTCTGGCGCTAGGTGTCAGCATATTTCTACAATCCATCGAGCGATTCATCTCAATTGAGAGTACGTTGTGCCTCCGGAGCTCGTTTGGCGACATCCTATAATTTTATTGATTAATATTTACAGTCGTGGAACAACCGAAGCTCGTCCTCATTATTGGATGCGTCGGCCTTGCACTCAACATCATCAGTGCTTGTTTCCTCCACGGTATGCATCTTGGTCTCCCGACCGCGTCACCCATCGACTAACCTATGTTTCTTCAGAACATGGCCATGATCACGGGCATTCACATGGAAATTCGCACAGCGAAGAATCAAGAGCCACAGAGACTGGCACCGTCGAAAACACGGAAGATGGAACCCAGCAGGTAAGACAAGGCCCTGAGTTGACTACAAAGATACTTACTCAACTCTCCTATAGGTGTTTACCGTGCACGAAAACCATCGCCACAACAACCTACAACCATCCAAGAAGGGTTACGATCTCGGTATGCTGGGCGTCTTGATCCATGTCATGGGCGATGCAGCCAACAATATCGGCGTCATCATCTCGGCCCTGGTGATCTGGCTCACTTCCTATCCCGCTCGCTACTACGCGGACCCTGCTGTCAGCATGGCAATTGCCATAATTATCCTTACAACTTCAATTCCGTTGGGTGCGTACCAAACCTCCTATTTCATGACCTGGTTATATTTATCTAGAATTATCTCGCATAGTGAGGAACTCTGGGATAATTCTGCTCGAAAGCGTCCCTGCCGGCATCAGTCTCGAAGACATTCGACATGATCTACAAATGGTGCGTTCTACTACCTTCTCAGTTGGCCTTCGCTAATAACAATAATGACTCCAAGATCCCCGGTGTTCTATCTGTCCACGAACTACATGTCTGGCGTTTGAATCAAGAAAAGGCCCTAGCCTCCGTCCACGTCACCATCTCGAATGATACCATTACCGAATTTGTGCAGATAGCAAAGACAATGGGTGATTGCTTCCATAGCTATGGTGTTCACTCGGCCACTGTGCAACCGGAACTTCCATCGCCTTCTGCCTGGATACCTTCAGAGACTGAAGCTCGAGAGAAATGGCCAAAGGCTTGCCAAGTCAAATGCGGTGCCTCTTGTGAGACTTTGACTTGCTGTGGATAGTATGATTCCGGGAATGGGAAAACGCAGCAAGCTATTGAGATGTAGAGAGCTCTCTGTGTGAGAAAAGGCTGCTTCTTGCTACTATTGATACGTGGGACTGGAAGAGGAAAATGAACTGGAAGTGGACGAAGAAGGAACTTGAAGGTAATCCTACGGTGGGCTGGCGCAAGGTCGCCGCAGGAACTGCCAGAATAATACCAGTACGAAATAAAAAATATTCTCCTTCTTGCAGAGTCTATGGGTAAATTTGAAGAGAAAAGCGGACACGTTGTTGAAAGAACCTAATGAAAGGATGGCATGCGGACATGTTGAATGCCTCGTAAGATCCAGCCTCCTGCATGAGACTCCTAGAGAATCCAAACATAAACATGCACAGTTCTGCATGTAAACAGGCATCAGTCTCCCACCTGGGCAGGAAAGCACATTAGAGAGCCAGTTCAAAATTGAGACCATCGCAGAAGCACAGCTGCGGCAATGACAGGAAGCACGCTGACAAGCTCTCCCAGTCCCGAAAACTCAGGTGGAATCCGAGCTTTCACAAAGGCTCCCGCAGCGAGAAGCACAGCAAAGGTGTTGTAAACAAAGCTCCACCCGAAGTTGAACTTGATTCGTCGGACAGAGGCATTGCTCGCGTCAATAACCGTGAGAACCCCGGACAGGTCTGGTCGCATAAGCACTACATCGGCAGCTGATTGAGCGATATCACTGCCCTCGTTGATATGAATCCCGATGGTTGCTTGCGCCAATGCAACTGCGTCGTTGGCGCCATCACCACAGAAGATTACAACCGGCTTTGTATCGGTGAAGTCGTCCATGAGCTTCTTGATGTAAGTCTGCTTGTCCGCAGGAGAGCTGCGTGCATGCACATTACTTTCGGTGATCCCTAACTTTGTTGCCACATTATTAACGGATCCATCGTCGTCACCCGATACAACATGAACCGAGATACCGCGTTGGTGTAGATTGGAGACAAGGTACTCTGCACTGTCACGGAGTGAATCCTCGAGGCCGAAGACCGCGCACAATACCCCGTCGATAGTGAAGCAGAATGTGGTATAACCCCGAGATAGAACTGGCTGAACTAAGCTGTTTGTTGGGAGATTTAGCCAGCGAGCATTTCCGGCTTTCAAAGACTGGCCATCTAGCTGAGATTCCACGCCACAGCCGATAACATTGATGGCACCCGGGACGGCAGATGCAAGGATGCCCTTCTCTTTGAGATGATTTTTCACTGCAACGGAGACTGGATGTTTGCTGTCGCTAAGAAGGCCCAATAGGAGGGCCATCTGGTCTCTGCCATGTTCGTTATAATTCTCAATTGCGACATTCATATTCCCTTTGGTCAAAGTTCCTGTCTTGTCCAGGACCACGTGCGAGGTTTTGTAGGCGACTTCGATCGCTCCTGCAGACTTGAATATAACCCCACTCTTCGATGTCATACCACAGACGATGACAACAACCATGGGCACGGCAAGTCCTATGGCGCAGGGACATGAGACAATCAACACCGTAATTGCATAAGTAATAGCCTGGACGACAGCCTCTGAGCCGGGTTTGGCTTGCATTGATATGCCAATAGCAATCCATACCAGGAAAGTAACAATTGCGAGAGCGAGAATAACTGGTACGAAGTACGAAGACACTTTGTCTGCGAGTTCTTGCAGATGTGGCTTTGACAGCTTAGCTTCATCGACCATGGCGGCGATCAGGCTGATTGTATTATCTCCCGGGAGGCGGGTGACACGAGCAATTAGAGTTCCCGAACCATTGATTGTTCCAGCGATGATGCTGGATTTTGCATACTTCTCGATTGGCCGAGACTCGCCAGTAAGCATTGACTCATCCACTTCTGAGAAGCCAGAGAGAACCGTCCCGTCAGTAGGGATTCTTGAGTCGGGGGGGCACGTTGAACAGATCTCCGTATTGCAGAAGTCGAGCATCAATCTCTCGGGTCTCTGGCGAGCTGCTGTCATCCGTAAGAATTGCTTTCGGTGTCTGTAAAGATCTTATCGAGATTGACTCGACCGCCTTCTGGCGTGCAAGGGCGCTTATGTAGCGGCCAACCATGATTAAAGTCACCAGGAGAGTGCTGGTTTCGAAGAATTGACCAGTCAAGAGTGGGTTTCCAGCCACAGAAAGGCCAAACGAGACCAGAGAGAAGATATATGCGATGCTGGTGCTAAGAAAAATTAACAGATCCATTTCAATGACGCGGGAGAAGATAAGGGCCTTCAGTGCCTTTGGGTAGAATGGGCCTGCTATCAGAAATTGAACAATAGTAGCCAGGGCCAGAGATGTAGATCCCGACGCCACTTCTCCTACATGTATAGGAGCCCATGCTAAGACTAGCACTGGAATAGTCAGGGCTACAGAGAGGATAGTCATGAGCCCCACATGTCGCACATGCTTGTTCCCAGCGACGAGTGCTTGATCATGATTGGCAGGGGCAAGCTTTGCGATTCCCGCCCAATGATTCTCCATGAGATCTCGAGCCCCAATCGATTGCGGTTCAAAAGTAACGCGAACAACACGTTTATCAGCAGAGCATATCTCTATCACGCCTTCTGGCCAAAGGCGATTGATAAACGTGGTTGTATTCTCGGAAACAAGAATATCCAAAGTGGAACCATTCTTTGTGATGACTTCACACTTGAATTCTGTCGTGCGCTCCAAATATTTCACTACTCTTTCAACAGTTGATAGACCGAGATCGAGGTCGAATTCCACCCGCGATAAAACTAGGCTAGTCTGTAGATTCTTGACGCCATCAAAAGCTGCCAGAGTCCTGCTGAGTTTGGTCTCGCATCCGGAACAAGTCATTCCCGATATCGCGAAAACAACATGCTCGATACCCATAGCCTGACTTTCAGGATCAACAATTCTGGATGCTGGGACAACATCCTTGCTGTGACAAGGAAGACTTCCGGAGGTGCAACAAACACTACCACCACAAGTATCCTCTGCATGTGAAATCAATTCGTGGTTGGAAGGAGAATCCTTTGAAGAGGGCACTTTGGGAGGCATGCTATTAACCGTCGCATTCTTAGGTCTGCAGCATGACTTGGTAGAGCACTTAGCTTTGCAGGATTCATCAGTATTGGATTTTCTGCACGACGTAGAAGGATGGTCGATTCTTCCGGCCGGTGAAAAGCTGCTGACACTACCACTTGTGCTGCAGATTCCAGTTGAATCTCGCAAAGTACACTGCTTTGCGGATTTGTTTGGCCCCTTTTGTTTATCTAGCGAAGAACGCGGCCGAGGCTCACAGCAGGATTCTCGTCCTAGAGCAATGAGAGAGCGGCAGATGCACTGCAGAGCCGTGAGCTTGGCAGCGTATTGTTTGCGAACAGAATTCTGGTGACGGTCACAAGGTTGGCGTGTGTTGTTGTGTTTGCTCAACGTTGATGGACACTCTACAGAAAAAGTAGTGTTAGCGAAGTGAAGAAAGGGTTTTTTCATGGGCATGTTTCATACTCTCTCGGTCGGCCTGGTCTTCAAGTTTGAGACAATCTGAATTTGCATCACATTCGCGCAGGGCTAAACGGTCCAGGCAGGAGTCATTGCAACATGGTAACGACTTGCCACGACAGCACTCCGGCGAGTCTGTTTCTTTGGAGGGAAGGGCTTCGGAATGAATTTGTCTCTTGCAGCAGGTATCGTTGTCATTGTTACCGGAGAGAGTCTCGGATTTGAGGGACGATCTGCAGGATGCAGAGTTGTTCTTGGTATCTTCCAGGTCGGCTTCAACGGAGTTTGCCCGACAAAAATCATCACGAGTTAGAGAATTTGAGGTTCCAGTCTTTTCCTCACGGCAACTTTGTGGCAATAGGCTCGGAGTTTCGGCAGACAAACCCAGCGTGTTGTTTGGTCTCACATCCGCGACATCGCTAGATAGCGGAGGGGAGTGGTCCGTCGCTTTGCAATGTTGTGGGCTTTCCTGGGGTATCGTCGAGGGGATACAGCAAGAGCGGCCCATTGTGCTCTTATGGAATGGGTAGCAGTCGATACTATTTTCTGTGGTCGTGTGATAAGAAACCTTTTTTCGAATGGGGAGGCTGGACTGTGGACCTTGGGAGAGTAAGAGTTGAAGTTGAAGTTGAAGTTGAGGTTACCCCACGGCCCAGGAGTACCTAGGTACTTACACCTTGCATACCTGCATATACGAACTAACCATAGTAAGTAATAGAGACTACTACTAGTAGTACTTGCATATTACTGCCATAATGAGAGACTAGTGGCAGTACTAGGTATTGATGCACTAGAAGGAGTAGGCCAAGTATTTCCTCGTGTGGTCTTTTTGTTTTCTCTTTTTTCTTTTGAAACTGATATGGAAATTTCCGCTGTTCTGCTTTCCCTTCCCTGGTTTGTTCTTGATCTTTCCAGTACACGGAACCTGCCAGGAATTATTTTATAATTGATTGTATAACAAGGGTAGTGTAACCTTTGGAAGTACTAGCAGTATATAAGGTCAGAATTCAGCCGCCGGCCCTTCACTGATAACCTTGCTCTGCCTTTCCCCATCTCCGCCTCACCCATCCGCCCATACATCCATCCATCCTTGGGAACAAAATTAGTTATCCTCTTTTGAACCAATATGCCGCGCAAAACGTCGAAGCAAAAGAAGAAATGGTCCATGTACCCATCTCTCCACAGCGATATCACAGACCTACTCGAAGAAGACGGCATCACATTCGGATTTTACGGCAACGACACAGACACTGGGGCCATTCGCGACTACGACACGAACATAATGGGTCGGTTTAATTGTTACAACTCAAAGTGCAAGAGCGATGGCTGGTCAAGCAAAATGATAGCCATTAGAATTCGGCTGTATTCGGGCAACAAATACAACGCCAGAGTCTATCACCAGCATTGCAAAACTTGCAAAAGCATCAGCCGTCCTGTTCTAGATGCTTCATATGCGGAAAGAGTGGCGTACCGCCTGAGGAAATGGAAAGGCATTGCCCAAGAAGTACCTGATCACTCCGAAGAGAGTAAGGGACCGCACCATACTCATCTGTGTGAGGGCTGCAAAGACGGCCATTGCACTTATCTTAAGCGCGGTTGAAAGACTAATTGTTTTCAATATCGATTTAAAGTGTTGTTGGATGAAGTTGTTTCCTCGGAAAATTTTGGGCTATCTGATATGGAAAGGAGCTTGAATGCTTGAACGAGCCGGATCGAGAATCATGGATCGAAAATATCATCATGGCCTTCCATTTCTCTTTTGCTACAAAGGAAAAAGAGTCACCTATTATCTAATTTCGAAATCTGAAGGAGCGCTGGCCGCCAAATGAGGAGTGTATTGTATGGACCAGAGACAGTTAATATGCCGATGAACAACCCCCGTTTCTTCCAGTTTCTTCCAGTTTTGTTATTTTCTCTCTTGAGTGAGTAGACTGTATTCATTTTCTTCTACCCGAATGCCATTAAACTACTGAAACAAACAAGGCAAAGTGAACAAGCTGACCATAGAAAGGCTGTATTCTTGAAGGGAAAAGATAGATAAAATCAAAGAAACACCGAAAATCCGTAGTGACCCCTAAGAAAACAAAACAGAGAGTGTGAACCGCCTACTAACTGGTAGAGCCCTCCCCATGACTTCGCGAAAGTCCGTAAGAAGGCGTCATTCCCTCATCAACGTCATAACATCCCCACGGCTTCGGCCCAAATTTGACTGGGAATCACTTCGAGCCCTTCTCCTTACCCGTCTCCTCTTCCTCCTCAGGCTGAGTAAATGCGCGAAGAATGGCCATTCCCTCATCAACATCATCAAAATCCCACGGCTTCAGCCCAAAGGACTGCATGAAATTGGTCCAGCTGCCGTAGCTTTTGACAATCGCGCGCTCTTCGGGGGTGAGGGGTGGCTCTGGTCACGGTGCTTGTGTTAACAGGAAAGTACAAGTCTGTTCCTGGAGGTGGTAAATCATACGCAGGGCATCGGTGGCAGGCATTGTGAAGGGTTGAGGGGATCAGTCCCTGGTTGGAGTTATTTTGGGTCTGTGGGTGGTTTTTTTGCTTGGGGATGGATGGAGAATTATGGAGAAGTGAGGAGATGAGGGGGAGTGATGAGGTTGGGAACTTGACGGGTTTGTCTAAGTTCAAGTTGGCACCAGATGGGCAGCGTCAGGTGATCCCCATACATCTACAGTTTACCAGTAAACAACAAGTTCCAAGGTTACAAGTTGCATCAGATTAGATAATAAATATTGGATTATTGATATCAAAATTGCAGCATCTCTCGCAATGCTACCTAGTATATACAGCTTGACAAGGTCAAAGCTTCAAGTTGGGGTTTCTATAGTGCCAACAAGCTAAGAAGCCCTGGAGCTTGGACCAAGTCACGACCTTCCAGAACACGCCAAGAAGCTTGTATATCAATCTATAATATAGTAGTACCATGGGGTTACGTAACTATAGCAGAACAACCTATGGTATGAATCTCATGACATACTGCATACTGCATAACATCCCGAGAGCCCTGCAGTATATTGTTATTCAAGGCTTATCGGATAATGGGGTCATGTCACGGTGCGGAAATGTACACCGGGCCACGGACAGATTTAAGTTCATGCCAGAACTTCAAGCTTCCGTCCTTCCATCCATGTCATTGTTAGTCTCTATATTAGTACTCTGCAAATATGTTAGCCTAACTATCTCGAGTGGCAACACAGTCATCCCGAAATCGGACATCAAAGAGCTGCTCCGCTCAGCTGACCCCTGCTCACAATGACTCACAGCGGAGCCTTGAGGTATCAGTGGCGAAGTACCCGAGGGGTAAGTGCAGCCTACGCGCCCAATACGAGCAAAGCTAAAGAAAGAGAAGAAGAGAGAAAGAAACGAAATGAATCAGAAAGTGTACGATTGGCTATCCTTGCGAACCTTTTCCGAAAATCCGGACGAGGCTCCGAACCGATCTCTTCACGCCTAAGGCGCCCACAGCGCCAGACCAGAGGAAGTGGAGGGGAGGGACGAGGTTGAGACTGCTGTAGCACAGAATTTGTTTTGATTGGATGGCCAATCACCGTATCACCAAATCCTCACCACCCATAAATAAGCCTTGAAATAAACAGGAAACCGTTCCATGCCCCCACACACTCCATACGCAACAAAGCAGACATGTAAAAAAAAAGTTTGAAAAAAAAAATAAAAAAATAAAGAAGGGACAAGAAATAGAGATGACGAGGGGACGGACCAACGTACATCGTACACATTCACAACAGTGAACCCCCACCAGACCCGTAGGCAAGATGATGGGACGACTGCTGCATGGCGACCGAGAGCCCGGATGGAAAGGGAGAAGAAGAGATAATAAGGGAGGGGGTATGTACAAGCAGAGACAATCCGGACTCATTCGATCGCCGGGGGATAAAACCCAGGACAAGAATGACAAAAAAAGACGGGCTTTTTCTAGTAACCTCACCACATAGGAAAAGGAAGAGACCGTAGCACCGATTAAATCAGTTCAAGTAGTCCGCACGAATGCTCGGGTTCAGGGCGATCTTGCGCGCCTCACTGCCGCAGCAGGCCCGTTTCATACCGGCAGGACCTGAGACTGAAGGGCCATGGGCCATCAGAAAAGAGGTTGCCAAGTGCCCATCGGGTAGGATGGATGATGGAACACCAGAGGCGCCTACATTAATCAGATGGCGAACGTGGTTCTGAAGAAGCATATCGTCAGAACCGGTGCGCCCGCGCTTGCGACATTGTCGGCGCTCGGTGGTTGCACCGGAGAGCTCGCACAGACTCTGTGCTGCTTCGCTGAGGCTGGAATCCAAAGAGAACTGCGACAGATCCGGTGCGGAGCCCATCGCGCCCGGGTAGTCGGGCGAACTGTAGAGATCGGCCAAGGCGCTTTCGTCGATCGGCGAAGCGATAGCCAAAGTCTTGCGACTTTCCTTGAGAGAGTTGCTAGTACAGCGTAGAGTTGCCTTGACAGCAAGTCGTGACGGAGCGGGGGCACCCGTGCCGGAAGCAGTAGAAGAGACCGATGAGGAGCGGGAAGAGCGCGACGACAAGGTCGACACGTCGGAAACCATGGAATCGGGCGACGACGCTGAAGATGTTGACCGAGCCAGAGAGGACCGGCGGACCGTTGCGGGGTATCCATCGAATGACTGAGCCCGAGGGTAGAACGAAAAAGGCGGGCGCTGATCCAAAGTGGATCGCGCCATGCCCATGTTCTGCGCCTGGGACATCGCCGTACCGATGGAGGGGCGACGGGGACCACATGTTGCCGCGTTCGCAGCAGGAGCGCAAGCAACATGGGTTTGGGGGGTCATCTGGGGGGGTGGGCAGCATCTGAGGGCGCGGGAGAGACGGCATCGGGAGGTTGACAAAGTCCATCCGAGAAGTCGGCTCCAAGTTCCGAGCCAAGCTACGCTGGCAGGTAGGAGTCTGCTCGCGCGAAGTCGATCGGATCGACTCGTTGCTCGCTGCGCAACGCGGAGAGGGAGATTCGGCCAGACCCAAGTCCATCCCACCCATCGCCGAGACCGGGGTCATCGGTTCCGAGTCAACAAGATCCAACTCCGGAGTCAGCCCGGGGAGGACCGTCCGCCAGCACTGGCCCTCACTGGCGGGAGGACCACCGGCACCGGGGGTCAGCTTGAGAACCAAGTCGGTCCATCGCTGGAAAGTCGCCTCCGAGATGTGTAGACGCCACCCAACTGCTTGCAGAAACATCAACTCATTTTGGTTGATTTCCAGGGTGTTCAAGCCCGAGATCTTACTCCAAGCACGGGCGGAGTAGTTGCGGTCCTGTAGATACTTAGAAGCGAGAATCAAAGCCGCCAGAAACATCCGGCGACCGCACTGCATGGCCCGGGTAGCCGACTGATCCCGAGATTGTTCCCTGGTGAAGTCGTTGCAGGGCACATGCGGCTTGATCTTGATCAAGTAGTAAAGGGCCACCTGCAGAGTACTATAGCTAGTGCGCGACCGACGAAGAGTCTCTTGGATGAAAGTCCGGAGAGGCAGGACGCCTTTCGAGCCGGTCGCGGCATCACTGCGGGATGCCGCGGCGGAGAGGGGCCAGATGTTTTCGACGATTTGCGACGCCGTATCTTTTGAACGAGAATATTTAGCACGAGGACATCCAACAAGTGCGGATCATCCGACACGACTTACCGACGAGGTTATCGACGAAGCTCACCTTGCGCTCCGACTGACGAAGCAGACAAGGTGGGGGACGCGCGCCGGGGCCGTTGGCCGCGACGTTAGTGCGCCGGGGATGCGTACGCAACTCCGGCGGGACCGGACCGTCAATCTTGGGATGAACTCCCTTGACGAAGGCCCGGGGGCATGCGACCGAAGGTCTCGTCGCCTGTTGGTTATCCACATCATTCTCCCAAATCACATCGACCGGGTTAGTGGCGGTGGAAGAGATGGAACTCTGAGAGGCATCGAGGGAGAAGACGGAGGAAGACGAAGAGGAAGCGGACGAGGCGATGGAGGAGGCATAGGGGTGAGCGTGGGACGCTTTCGAACTTGGGTTTGAGATGTGAAGACCCAAGACGTCCATCCCCGACATCTCCGAAGACGCGGAGGGATTCATGAAGGACCGAGGGTGATTTTAAGTGATCGGACAGGAGTCAAGTCGCGAAGAGGGAGAGGGAGAGGATGATTCGATTTGATAGCGTAGTGTCAAGATACCGTTAAGCAGGGAACCGGGAACGAAGGCCGAGGAGACAGGAGCCGTCTTTGCGGAGGCGACGGCAAAGCCTAGAAGTTGATATGCGCCAGGTTGAGGTAGTAAGGTTAAGTGGAAGTGGACACCGAGATGGCGGTGGGTGGGGGGGAATAAGAAGGAAGACGAGAGGGAATCAAAGTAAAAAGTAAGAGTCACAAGGACAAGAGAAAGAAGAGGCAAATATTAATGAAGAAGAGAAGAGGGAAGGAGTAAGATAAAGAAGAGTCAGGGACCGATCACACCAGTGTTGAGGCTATCCCCGAAAGTGGCGAAGATGACTCGAAGGGACTGAAAGCAGCAGGCTTAGACAGTCACGATCAGGCGGGAGTCGATAGCGGCAACACGGGCGATCGGAACGGAGGACTCAGTATACATTTTGAAATGAAGAAAGATGGGGAGAGACAAGGCACCTAACGGAGCATGGACAGGCAGACCTGGGGAAGGGCTGGCTGTTCAGGCAGTCGTTGGGTGACTAGGCAGAGGGAGATAAGATGACCAGGAGGGTCCAGGTCCGGGTATCGGGGGGAGTGAGGTGGTGTGGTGTGGTGAGGTGGAAGTGGAGGGTAGAGTAGTGAGTGGTGAGTGGTGAGAGAGAGAGTGGTGAGAGGAGGAGAGGAGAGGAGAGGTGGTGATGGAGATGGAGATGGGGAGGAGTCAGAGAAGAGGTTTTTCACGTTCGCCCACGGGGTTGACTAAGAGTCACTCGAGGAAAGAGCGACTGGGAGGGGAGTGGCGGGTGGCGGGTGGGAGGCGGTGTTCTTTCCTTTTCCTATTATTAACACACCGTACTATAGTAAATAGTTACTACTGTAGTATATATACTAGATACTATGGAATAATAGTATCTATTATCTATCATCTATCATCTATCATCTATTCATCATATCTATCTCTATCTCTATCTCTATACTATACTATCTCTATACTCTCTACTCTACAGTGCACTCCTATGTACTAAGGTACTCCGTACCTACACTGACTCATCGCCGAAGCCGGCTTGCCACCCGAGCCAATCACAGGGGTTTTCCCGGGGGAAAACCCCCCCTGAAAGTCCACTCTGATTGGTTCAACCCAGATTACCCGCTTCCCCATTGGCGCAGTCTCCGATTTGCTCCATGGGGAAAATCAGAATCATCTGGTACATTTGGGCACTGCTACTGGCACTGGACTCTGCCCTTGGACTGGGATGACGCACTGGGCACCGGCACTGCCCAAAAGTACTTTATTTGCTATTCTAGGCAGCCCACAGGAGCACAAGGCGCTTATTCGGTAGGCTGCCAATCATGAGCCTACCATACTCTGTCCACACTAGTTACTCCATACTGTTGTCCCTTCATTGGTACTTTGACTCACAGTGGCAACTTATGACTCAAGCAGATTCTGATGAGCACATGGCCACCCTACCTTACTCCAGTACTCCATACTGTATGTAGTTACATATTCTATGTACCCAAAGTACCGTACTCTGCCCTGCCTCAAGGAACTCGGCTATGCAAGCACCTCCTGCAGTACCCGAACCAGTCCCTGCACCTCCGCCTCTGTTGCCTATTAGTCTCCACTATGATAATTTTGGTATACACTGCTTTTCCAAGAGGCTGGTGGTGCTGGTATACCCCCAGGGTGCTAGTAGTACAGGAGTACTGGTATAAGAAATGGGCAAGCACTCACCACTGTTATAATGCAAAAAGCTGACCCTCACCACCCCATCTTCAACATCCTCCAACCCACATACCTCCTTCAACAGACGATGGCTGTACATGTGGCCACTCCGGAAGCCAAACGCCGATCGGGCCTCCACTGCCTCCACCAACGCCTGACTCCCCACCCCATCCACCGTAAAACTAATCACTGGCACCCTGACCTCCTTGTTCGCTGACCGGTCCCCAATCACCCGCACCCGACTATCCGAGTTCAAAAACTGCAGTAGGATCGCCTGCAGTCGTTCCTCGTGCTGAGCCATCCCCTCCCACGTCTTGGCTGCGGTGGGCCCAAAGTACTCCACCACCGCCGGAATACTATTCGTAAGCTCATAGTTGGCCGACGCCAGGTTGAGCTTCAAGTCCAGGCTATCAGTTGCTTTAAAGAAATGTCCCAGTGACTGAATCTCCTCATGGACTCGCGACGAGGCGTATAGTTGCGCGATATGCGGGCCGTAGACCTTGTACCACGAGAACGCCTGACGAGAAGCGGGGGAACAAATTAGTCTTAGTCCATACTACAAGTAGTAGATGATAGGCCTCTGATGAGGCAGGAGGCAGCAGTACACAGCAAGGACAGACAGTAGGAACAACTCACATAAAAGTCAACATCAAGTGCCTGCACATCAACCTGTCGATGCGGTGCAAGAGCAACACCATCCACGCAGAGAAGAGCCTACACAATCCCTCCACAGGAAATAAATCAGCCCTCTTGTCCAGTCCTCTTTAAAACTCACCCGATCATCTCCAGGGTATACATAGATACAGATACGTACGCGTGGGTGCATATGAACTGCATCGGCGATCTCGCGGATCGGACTGATGGTACCCGTGATATTAGACGCATGGGGACAAGCGACCAGTCTAGTCTTATCTGAAAGAAGGGTCTTCAATTCGCCCACATCACACGTTGGGTTGGTCGGGTTGGACGATGCCCAGAACTTCAATGTGAGGCCGAGGCGTTCCGCGATCCGGACCCATGGTGCCGTGTTGGCTTCGTGGTTGAGTTTCGAGACGATCACTTCGTCGCCGGGTTGGAATTTCAGCGCTGTCGAGAGATTGTGCAGGAGTTGGGTGGTTGAGACGCCGAGGTTGATCTGTCAGTAGTTAGTAAATCATTGCATGTTGAATTTCAAGAGGTATGGGTGTCTAATATCTAGCTTCCAAGGTTGGTGGCTACTCTTGGCATACCTCTTCTGGCTGGGCGTTGATGAAACTCGCAGCACTCTTATATCCGTTTGAGAATCCGGCCGTAGAGGCTTGAGAGATCTTATATGTTGCGCCAAGCTGGACGTTGGTGTTGATCAAATACGAGCGAATGCTGCCATGGTCCAAATTAACATCGCATGAACATACTATACACAGAGAAAAAGAATGACTGACGAATCCACGACGGATCCAAGGACCTGACTTCCACCTGTTCAAATTCAACTTAGCAAATCATATCCCTTCAAGTTTCAATGTTGACCAAGGCTGCATGGGTAGTTTATATCTCACCTGCATTGTCCATAAACACCTGTTCCTGCTGCAGAGCTGGGAACTGGGCCCGCGCAGCTTCGACATCATAAGTAGCGGCCATTTTTAAATCGTCTAGTAATGAATATTCTTATTTAATCGAGTCGGGAGTGGAAGTTGAAGTTGCAATTGAAGTTAGGACACGATGTCGTCTCCGCAGAGGGGAGGGGTAGTGGATCTACGTGCCAATTTGATAGCGGAGTTACTCCGCCGAGATCAATGCCCACAGCCACATGAGTAATGGAAATGATGAAATGCACGTACATCCGGCTACCAGTGCTTTTCTTTAATTACTAGTAGTAGAAGTAGTGTTATTATATTATATGGCGTTATTCAATATTCGAATGACATTGAGTTCATATCAAAAAGTTGATTTTTCTCATGAAATGGCCTCGATGTAGATCGATTCTAGGATTCTTAGTACGCAATCACCACGGGCACCGCCTGATTTATACTAGAGTACTGACAAGGGCAGTGTGGACTTTGAAAACTTGTACTTGAAAGCAGGCCAACCTGGAGAGTATCCTGCGGATGAGAGCGTCGGATGTTGATTGAGGAGACCATTATCTGCATGACTGAGGCCGGCACTGGACCCTTTGCTCATAATACAAGTAGGCCGAGCCATTTCAATGCGTATCTACAAGTACTGCCTGTCTCATATTCACCTCCTCGTGGAGACCTCGGGATATCCGCCAGCCTGAACCGAATCGATCGGACTCGGCAAATTGACGCACAAATGGCAGATACAGAGACACAATCTACAAGTCAAACTGATAGCAGCACATATAATGCGAAATCATGCTTCAATCGGGTATAAGTGGTATAAAATCCAAAGCCAAAAGAGCCCACATAGCAGATAGACAAGACAAGAACCCCGAATCACCCACAGACACCACAAGGCATATCAAAGCAAAGCAAGCCAGGGAGCAAGCCAGGGAAGAAAAGAAATCAGGAAGAAATAAAGGTTGGATTTCCGAATATATCATCGCGACCGAGCTCCCGCAGCGACTCCCGCACCACTCGCATTGGTCGCATCATGTACAACACAAAGTAGATATTTCCGATCCGGCACGACAACAATCTCATGTTTGCGCGTGCGCATCCGCAACAGTTTCACCTCATCCTCCTCTTCGCGATCCGCAGAGTCTGGATCGCCATCTTCGCGCGGGGTACTCGTCCCATTGGCGTATACATTAGGTGCGCCCTCTAGGGTCGGTGTAGCGCGCTCATCCGCCTTGCCTGTCGGTCGTGAAAACGATATACCAAGGGCGGAGGCACTCGAGACGAAATTAAAGATGTGGGCTGCCAGCGTCTCTGCCTGCGAGGGCTGGTATGTGGAAGGGGAGGGTTGGGCTGGAGAGGACGGTGAGGAGTCTGTGGGAGGTTCGGTGGTGGGCGGGGCGATCGGGGCTGAGCGAGGTGTGTTTGTGCCGCTTTCTAGTGGTGCGAGGAGTCCGGTGCTTTGGATGATAGATCCATCTTTACGGGAGAGGATGAGGGTGGATTGCACCCCTGGGCGGGAGGTGAGGTGGGAGAGCAGCGCAGTGACATGTTGGGGCACCTGCTGCGAGCGCTGGAAAGGGTTATCCTGTTAGCAAGGTAAGGTTTTGTGGATCACAGTGGTGTTCAGAAACTTACCTGGGGTGGATTGGCCATGGTTGGTGCGCGGGGAATGTTTTAGAGGAATGAAGAGCGGCGTAGAGGCGGCGATCGGTGGTGGGTAATGGGTAGGTTTAGCAGGATGTGGTGGATCTCATCGCAGCGAGCTGATTATGACAAGTTATCGTAAGATATTAGACTAGACTAGAGACTTGAATTGTAAGTGACAAGTCTCTCGGGGTGGAAATTGAATTGTCTCGTCGTCGCAAACTCGCAACTTCAAGCGATATCAACAATGATGACTCAGCGGATCACATGGTCTGTGAAGTATACCAAGACAGAGACAACAAATTCAATGAACAAAAGGATACGCCGTATTGGATTACAGCAGGTGATTGTAGCTTTGAAAACCAAAAATAGTCAAAACACCGAGTCTTCTTACCGCGAACTCCAGAATGGCATACTGGTACCAGTAGGGTTCCACTAATGAAAATTGGGAGGAAGCCGGGTTTATGGGCTCTGAGCATTGAAAGTAGAATCGAGTCAATTGAACGTTAACGCGGCGAACTTTCAAGTCAAAGTACCAGACAAAACGGCCTCTCTGCTCTTGCAAATATCGATGAATATGTTGCGGAGTCTCAAGGGAGATGAGCGAGGGAGGTAAGGAAGGACCTAGGAGGTCGTAACTCGAAGTTACTATCTACACTGAGCCACATCGTCACCACCATGTCAGGGGATGAAAGGAGAAGTGTCATACAGGATAAGAAAATCCCAGGGGTATTGTGGCCGAGGTTGGAAGAATCCCGGCAAATCGCCAAGGACTACTGTCTTTTGGACGGGTTCGACTCGATACTTGAGTCTTTCGAAACTGGACCCGAACAAAGTAAATTTGATGGGGAGGGCAACCTTGGAAGGAGGAGAAGACATGGCGGCAGATGGAGATCATCATCAAGGAGATACCTAGGTACCATGGGAGGAGATGTGGATTATCCCATTTTGCTTTGAAGTTTCCGATTATTGCTATTTCCCCAGGCGAGCCGATGAAGTTGCTGTTGTAAATTGAGACTAAAAAGTCAAGTCAATACCAACGGCTTCTTCAATACATTGAGGTACATTGAGGCACATTCCATTCCTAATCAACACAGCCGATCTTAGAATGACATACTAGTCGAATGGTCATGATAAACTTCTATAGTACCTACTAAATTTCCCTACAGTCGTACCCAATCAAACGAAATTTTCTGCAACATTGATGTGGATTTCAATTGATTGCCGGTTTTTGTGAAAACACAAACCGATCCTCGTCTCATGAGTAAAGTACAGCAATGCAGTAGATAGCCCGGTATCGATACTACCTCAAGAGTATATGAGTCACGGTATGCATTGTAGACAAGACAAGGCGGAGTGGAGTGTTGTCGGAGAAGCAGCCTATCAATTGTCTTGCAGCTCCGGGGTTACGGCGCTGACATCGAATCAACTCCCGTCAATTCCCGTGGGGAGGGAAATCACCAGCTTTAAAACAACACACGTCTCTCGCCCTTCAGTTCGTACTCGAAACGCTCATTCAGCCCAAAATATTACTACCACTATGACAATGGCAAGACCACGTGGACCTTTCGTTTCTCTCCCTCCGGCTTTCTTGCCGTCGAACCTGACCGTCCTCACTGGGCGAACCATTACCCTCGAGAAGCTTCAGCCAAAGCACGCCAAAGACCTCTTCAATCTCGTTGGTGGCGAGGAGTCTGCCAAAGCGTCCCTTTGGGACTACATGGGCGATGGTCCATACGCGCAGCTAGAAGAATTTGAGAAAAACATCGCAGCACGGTCGGTCTCTCTCGATCCATTCTTTTTCGCAATCATCGATAAACGCAGTTCAGTGCCTACCTCCGGTAAGCCTATCGGATATCTGACCTTGATGCGAATTACTCCCGAACAATGGACTGTCGAGATTGGAAATGTCATGCTTTCGGCTGCACTTCAACGCACAACCGGTGCCACTGAAGCGTTTTATCTTCTAGCACGACATGCCTTTGAGGACTTGAACTATCGGCGATTCGAGTGGAAGTGTGACTCTCTCAATTCTCCGTCGCGCAAGGCAGCTCTACGACTGGGATTTACTTTTGAAGGTGTCTTCCGACAGCACATGGTGGTAAAGGGCCGGAGCAGAGATACGGCCTGGTTCTCGATCGTGCGAGATGAGTGGGATAGTAGTGTCAAATCTGCGATGGAGAAATGGCTACACGGAGAGAATTTTGATGAAAATGGCAACCAGAAGAGAGCGCTCCAAGATTATAGATCGGAATCTACAGCAAACTGAGCGCCACCGGAGTAGGCTTGCTACAATTTTTATAGAGCTTGTCGCTAGCGTGATGCAATGCAACAGCGACAATCGAATTTAGAAAATAGAATGATTTTTCTAATTTCCCAATAATCAGACATACTGAATTCATTCTTGTTTGAGTTGAAGTTAAAATAAATAGTGAAACGCGACATGATCTTGCAGAGACGTAGGGTTTAATTGAGCAGGACCAACTGATCATTACGGGGTATATTCGAGACACAATACTACTACTGATGTTATAAAACACTAAAATCAATGTTCTACATAAAAATGCAACAAATTGGCGAGTCGCATTTGGTACGCTCAATTTAACGCTGCGACAGACATAGACTAGCCAAAATGCGTTTAGGTGATGTACCCTATACGAGACGGGACCGTTAGTCCTTGTGTTTTGTTTTGCTTAATTATAACAGCGAATCGGATTTCATGCCTCAATTAATGTATGCATTATCTATCCTAGAAAGCGTCAAGCTAATCAGTCCAGTCCCAGCTCCTTTTGTCACCCCTGTCCCATCTTCGCCAGCTTCGTTCGACGATACCTCGATATGGACTTATGTCAATGAAAGCAGCAATGTTGCCAATAGATTCAAAGATTTCATTCACGGAACTTCTATCATCCTGGTTGATGGCTGCCAAGCCAAGACAGAAAGCGGGAACGAACAAAAAAGGTGAAAGCTCCGAAGAATCTAGATTCTCGGTGCTAGCCAGACCATTCCGAACCGCAGATTGAAGCTTTGCATCCTGAATTCCGTTGGGGTGAATGACCAAGTATAGCCATACATACAGTGCTGAGACACAAGAAGCATGTAAATCAGGGTATTCTCCGTTATCAAGAGGAGGTTGAGGTTTCAACTCATCAAGGTCTCTCCATATCTCAACTGCGTTCACAATCAATCGCGATGCTAAGTTTGGCAGTGCTTTCGAATTGATATGAAGAGAGTAGATCTTCTCCATAATATCTGAGAGGCCATCCTCAATGCCAAATGTAGTCTCCGCTCTACCATCAGGCTGAAAGTTCTCTCTCGATATAGTAGGAAGCTGTGATATGTTCCCAGCAGAGATTTCGTGCAAGCTAGAGAGCCTGTCGACCCTCTCTGTAAAAGCGTAAAGAAAGATGTACTTTTTGTTGGAGATGAGAGACATTTCAATTCAAGATCCGGATTGCGAGCCCTGGAGGGGTCAAAAGATTTCGAGCTATTCACGGAAGCGGGAAGGGTAAAAGAAGATAAAATAGAAACCAGGGTGAGACTCATTCTCGGAGAGCGCTTCCGACTTTTTATAAAAAGTCATCGGTGCAACAATCCTTGACCTAGATCAGTCTTTAACACAAAAGCGGGATTCCTTGTAAAATCACTTACAATACAAACCCACCTCGGTAAATAGAATATGTTCATTCCGCGACTTTGTTCAAGGTTCACCCTTTAGTTATCCGCGGTGGATAAGATCTCACTATACCGTGGGACTATAGTATACAAAATTGCCCGTGCACAAAATGCCTGACAAAGTGGACTATTCCAAGTGGGTTATATCTAGGAGAAGCAATTTCTTTTTTCGTACCGAGATCTATTTAATACGTACACAGGGTGTAAACCATCTACAAACAGACCATTTGAATACCAACCATGGCGATCTCGTCCAGCTAACCCCTGCAACAATATGGACCGAGCTTCATTTCATTGCTAGCCGCTCTAGCCGCGGTATGCCGACGCTGCGAGGATCCACTGTTGTGGTAAGGCTGTGGATACATCAAACGCCACCTCCACAATATGCACTGACTCCAGACCACAAAAGCGAAGTAATTACGCAGCGTAGTGTGTTCTGTGCTTTGACAATTTCAACAGTTGGTGAGTGTAACCAGTTTTCACTCGAGAGTCAAAGGCATCCGGGCTCTAGACAAAAGTTAGATCCCTAGCTTGAGTATGTAACAGTGTCCTCAAGCCTCGTCTCACCTCTCTATGGATCGGTGTTGCCGGTACCACTCCGAGGCAGAAAGTCCAGTCGTGTTCTTAGGTAATACCAGGAATTCTGTGAGTAAAGTACTTGAGGCTGTATACAGTCGGGACCCACTTCCCACGGCCCCGACAAGTGGATGTACCTTGGAGAGCTAGCTAACCAAGATAGGCCAACGGGCAGAGGGGCTGTGAAAAGAAAACAGTAGAATTTTGACGAAGGATTGTGTGCAAAATCACATAGGTCCCACGATTTGACGTGTGTTTATCAACGGGGCAATTGATCCAAACCGAAGTGGTATGTAATTTCTAAGAAAGGCAGAGTTATAAGTGCGAAGTTCTTCCGATTCCAGCGGTACTTTTTCGTTCTTGTATGCAAAGTGCCCAGGTGGGCTTTAAGGCCGTGATCATGGGTATCTGTGCCCAACATGGTCTAATAGTAGAGCCAGAGCCTTAGCTCGGCTTTTGGCCGCCAAAAGTAGTCCCGAGGACTCTTGCGGGGCGAAGCCTTGTCTCTTGGAGCTGCTGCGGGGCTAGTCACATTCCAGTGCTCGGTTTGAAATTTAACTTACGATACTTTCGCGCCCAATCCGAATGGTAAATCATGTTAGACGTTTTGTGAAATACCCCTTTTTTACCTTTCAACCCAGTAATTTGTGGAAAGCCAAAATATACATTACAATCAACTAGCCAATCACCAAAACATTCAGCAATTTGAAAAAAGCAACCATTCCGAGTCGCAAGACATATTGGTACAATAGAGGCTAATGCACGTCAGAATATGGTACTAGTGTGTTTCTTGACAAGTATGAAGTCACCTACTTCCAAAGTTTTTAGTACTACTTAATCAAGGCCCTCGGGTACTCTCGGTTTTATACTTGCAGAATTCTTGGGTCCGTATGACTTCCGAATCTCTCTTGCGCAAGAAATAATGCACTAACAGAGGGGCCTAAATTTATGGCCATCCTGGAAGAATCGGGAGAGCATTCACTTCAAGTTGTAGCTACTGATAGGACCAATTTGGTACATAAAAAACAAACACTATCAGCAAGCTGAATACGACTAGCACTCCCTGTTTCTTTATTTCAATGTTGCTATTTCCTACTAGCAGTTGCTAGTGGTGTTAATCCCCGGCCCTCTTTTCCAACCAGGGCTTCCAAGGTTCAAGTTCTTCAAGTTGGCGAGCCTCACCGCCATGCAGGTTTATAGTAGCATAGTAGTATTTGCAAGAGACAGCCCAACAACCTCGGAACCTAAGAAACTACTAGTACTAGCCTTGAACGACAACAATGAAAAACGACATTCCGACTAATCATACCAAGGTAGCGGGCGAATAATAATATTCGAGTCTACGGAGCGGTTCTACAAGTTTATTTCTCGGTGGGCCTATCTTCCTGAGGTGGGGCGGCATTTCCTAAACCAGCTGGTATCAAGCGCGCTGTCTGGGCAGCTTGAAGGGCAGCTTGAAAGGTGCCATACGAAGAGTCGAGCCCCAAACTTTGTAAAATAAAAGTAATTAGTAGTAGATACACGATATTTCTCCCAGGTGGGGCCAGTTTTGAGATCTAGTTCAATTCGCCCTTTAGGTGTTTGTCGGCATGCCTTGAATGTTAGTTAAGCTTCTGACGAAGGCGGGCGGCCCCTTTTGGCTCGCGTGGATGACTTACTAGTCGATTCACATCGAGGTAAATGGCGCGGACTGGCAGTGCGATCATCGCAATGATCAAACTCCGATTACGAGGACTTGCAAGTGGGTCGGCGGCGAGTTCACTCTTTCAAAGGTAGAGGTTTTACTTTTATTACAACATAGATAGTATCAAAGATGATCTCCAAGCTATTATATGTGGATATGAAAGAGTCATATTATAAACTTAAGCCAACTGTAAGGTTCAGTTGTATTTAAAAACAATGGTATCGTCGAGATAAGATTGATCCAAAAGTATATCGAATGGAGAAAGAAAAGAAAATTTCAAAAGATCGTCACACTGGTCTTTGATATCGAGAAAAAATCACATGAGGTCATAAGAAATAAGGGGAAATGGTGAAGAGAGGTGAGAAACGAAAGTCTCAAAAACAAAGCATATGTCCAAAAGGGGTATAACGAATGATTGTGAAGATCAGCGATTCCGAGCCATGCGAGATGGGCCACTCATGTTCGACTTATCAGACAGCCATCCAGCCTCGATATCCTCAATCATGTTATCGAGCTGGCGAAGTTTTGCTCGGCTATCTCGCACTGATCCCGGAGTTTCAAAACCACTGTTATCACTGCTGCGAGAAGAGCTAACCCAGCTCTCCGGTCGGGAATTATACTGCGGCTGCTGCTGGTACCGACTTTGACGCTGGTATGGGGTTTGAGGGGCAGCTGAGAGAGGAGAAAGAGCAGCCTGCAAGCCGTCCATCATTCCGCCATCCTTCACGCCTGCGTTGAGGGCAGCAAGGAGAGCGGCTTGCAGGATTTGGTTCTGGCGTTCTAGGTTTGCGACACGGTCTTCGAGGAATTGATTCGACTCTTGTTGCACATAGCGACTGCTTCGAGGTTCCCGAGAGCGGTATGTGGATTCTGAGTTGATTGAACTGGGGGACGCGAGCGGGTCAAGGTCACGACTGCTGCGACCTTGAGGTGTTTGAGACCGCATTGGGACAGGATAGCGCAGCCGCGTGTGCCCGGTGCGTCCGTCCACTGTGTCATATTTATGGCGGATAGGATGAGCACGCTTAGGTTGCTTTTCAGCCTGGCGGCGAGGCCGGATGGTGTCCGTAGCAGGGCCAAACCCTTCATCGTCCGAGGATGGAAGCGGGGACTCCGCTCGACTGGGCTCATACGACTCGGGAATACTCTCGTGGCGGAGGCTACTACGAGAGCTGCTGCTGCGTGACACCATCGAAGCTCGGTGGTGTGCAGGACCGAATGGTGCCTCCAAGGATCTGGCAGGTTTTCCTGATGGTGCAGTTATGTTCCTTTGGGATTTAATCCGATTGTTTGACGTTTGTAGAGATGGATCGGGTGGAAGGGCTCCGCTTGGGGAGGAGAAGGAAGACCAAAGGGGAGATTTTTGCGGTCGACATTTGGGTCGATCTGGAGAACTTTGCGAGAAGCTCGTTTCCCACGAGGCTTGCTCGGTGTCATTTGGCCTAGAACAGGCGAGTCTGCGACTGGTTCTCCTTCTGGGCTGCTTGACTCGGCCAGATCCTGCATCTTAGGAATGCGTACGCTGGAAGCGCGTTTCCGAGGCCCTGGTTGTTCTGGCGATGTCGAATGGGGTCGCTCAATTGAAGCAGGCGATTGGCTATTGCCATCATCCCCAATGGAGTCTGCTTCGCCAACAAAACTTGATGAGGTTGCAGACCGGGTTTCTTGACCTTCGGGCTCATGAGGATCTTCTGCTATGGGCGAAGGTTGACCAGGGGGTAGATCCATACCCTTTGTCTTCGGTCGAGCCATTTGTATTGTGAGGCGAGATTTATCGGGGGTTCCTGGTGGTGCACGCGAAGGCTTTGGGATGGACGGCAGGGGCCTTGTCGGCGCCGGCAGGGGAAAGGCCTGGAGGGTACCCAGGGCTAAAGACGTAGGTCGAGGTTTGCTCTGAGTTTTGTCGACAGTGTTAGAAGAAGAAACTACTTCTGTGGTGGGCTTTTCGACAGAACTTTCTGGTCTTGCGAGAGCACCAGAGCATTGAGCAGCATCTTCAATCTCGGGTTCGGCTTCAACCTTCGCAGCGATTGGCGGAGGCTTTGGCTTCTGTTGCTTTTCTTCTGTAGGTTTAATGAGCTCCTTAGCCTCAGTGGAAAGATTCGACTTGATCGAGGTCGCTATGCTAGGAGGCCTTTGGTATTGTGGTGCCGACGATAGTCGCCATGCATGCTTGCTAGAGATACGCGGTGGCGCAACATCGGGGAACAGTTTCAGAGAGCGCTGCGAGGGAGTCCTGATTGAGCCGGTGGTCGAATTTTCCATACTTATTCGAGAAGGCTCAGTGCTCTGGTCTGACTTGGACTCGCTGCTCATAGATTGGTCCGGTGATCCCACTTTGTCGAGGCTAGCTGGTTGACTCTTGGGGCTAGTCAAGGATGACGCCGCGTCTTGGTCGACAATGCGAACGCTTGAGTTGCTGGAAGTCGAAGGCTGTCGGGTGTGCTCACTCTTCAAGAAACTTCCGGGAGTGGCCACAACCGAGGTCGACGAGATCGAGGGATCGGTGCTGGTGAAGCGAGTCTCTGAGGAGACCGGGATTGGAAGCAAAGATGCCGGGGTTAGGTTCACGCTCAGGTCACTCTTGGCTGCAGGCCTTCCTGCAATCGAGGATTGATAAGGAGGAGGTGAAGGTTCACTGAAGTCCGTCATGGAAACTGCGACATCCACCAGGGATCCAAAGTCACTGAGGTCCAATGAGGCCAAGCGGCTTCTCGTGTCCGTTGAAGACGTCTTGCTGTGTCCTTTATTATCGAGCCACGGTCGCCCGATGTTTTCGACGTCTTGCATCTTGGACGACTTGGATGATTTGGAAGTCTTGGAAGTTCTGGACAGGGTTCTTTCAAGACTACTCTTGGAATCCCTTCGCTTGGGAGCTGCAGGAAGGAGGTACCCTTCTCGCTGAAGAGCCTCGATTTGTCGTTGATTATCGTCTTTCTTAGTTTTCGGTGCCGATTCCTTTTTCTGGCGTTGGGTAAACTGAAGTAGGCGTCGATGTAATGGTTTCAGCTCTTTTGTGAGCTGCTCCTCGGGTATCGGCGTTGGTCTCTCGGGCGATAGATAAGTAGGCAGGGCAGTAGTGCTTTCCGCAGGAGCATTCTGAGTTTGGAAAAAGCGCACAAGATCCGTTAGACTTTCATTCCGGGGAGCCCTTTCGGCCATGCCCGCAGAGCGAGCCTGGGGCCTTGGGGGGGCTTACTCCTTGCGGGCGGGCAGACTCTGGGGATCCAGAGCCCCCAGTAGACATGCTGGACTGTCTCCGCTTGGCTTTTGGTTTGGAGGGGGGATCGGGCCTGTATGTTCGAACAATAGGGCTCGGTGCGATTTCACTTTCATACACGGTATCCCAATGATGCATAGGGGCATCGATTGGCTGCCTTGGCAATCCGGCTAACCGCCGGGTTCATAGGGGCCTTGATGTATGTTCAGAGGGGAGTAGTGGCTATTGCTTTGTTAGAGAAGAACAGGAGGGAGGAAGGGAGAGAAAGAAATAAAGTTTTGCCAGGCAAAGATGCCTGGGAGGCGCAACTCACCTTGTTGTACTCCGTAGAGGCGAATTGCAACAGGGATTGTGGCGAGGTAGATATAGGCGCATATGCAAATGCGAAATGACAGGTATATTATATACAGGCACAAGCCACTCGTCGTATGTACAAAGTGATTTGAGGGTGGCGTCTGGGTCGAAAGACGAAAAGAGAAAAAATCCGCAGCTGAGACGAGGCAACCGAAAAGGGAGGATAGCCAGTGTTTAAGTGTGGGAAAGCTGCAGGATTTTAGAGTTGAGCTGTCGCATCTCCTTGAAAGAGAAGAGGGGCGGCGAAGCCATCCTGGAGACGATCCAGACGCAGGAGGTAGTTCGGGCCCGCTCTCGGAAAGCAGATAGCCTGGAAAGGGCGCAGATACAGTTGAAGTTAAAATTATTAGTACCTTCGTCGAGGAAGGAGTTTCCAGGGTCAGGTCTAAGAGAACCGGGCGCTTGGCCATGATTTCATGATCATCTGGGTGTGACCCTGTACAGCGTGGTTCGGGGGATCGGAGCGCCGCAATATGACACAGCAGTTGGATGAATTGACAAACTATTTCGGACTCGCCCGGCACCAACATGCATGAGCCACAGTGATTGGTGTTTGTGTTTGTTTGCTGAGGAGTTCGCAAAAAGCACCGAGACCGAGTTCTGCTGCTGCACCATCCCCTTCGTGGGCATTGCATTGTGTGACCCGCCTAGTATTGAGATGGAAGGAGGCGTTCGTTCCTCCATTTAGAAACCAGGAGAGCAGAGCTGAGCATCAGACCATTGCTGTGTTTTCTTTTCCCTCTGCTCCTACGGAGTTGTTTCCCCAGTTGTTGCACACGCAAGGGGCCTGACCCAACTACTTGGGCCATTGGCCTCCTCTCCCCTCTTCCTCCTCCTTCTTCTCCTTATCGAAAGTATAAGCGACGTCAGGATGTGAGGTATCAGTTCCCCACTCGGATAGTTCGCCGCAGATCCCAAGGATCTCCGGTGCGGGTAGAAGCTGTCGATCGGGATGAGCTGCAGCCCCCGTTGGCCGTTGCTTTTTTAGCAAATTCGGAGCCATATGCAGCTTTGGATGATTCCAGTCTAGCAGCGTGGAGCAGGAATAGAGGGGAAAGGGGGAGGGTGGGGGGAAGAAGTGCTCTTGGATCCGCCCGAAAGTTTAGTGTCGCTGATTATTGAGTGCGAGTTGCGCCTAGGCGATAGATCGCCCACACTTGGGGATCCACAGGTCCTTGCGTAAAGGGATCTCAGCCCTTTCGCCTTTATTCTCCGGGAACGGTCTTGCCGATGCATGGTCATCGTGGAATTCTTGATTTCCAAAAAGATAGATGTGAAAGAGCCGAGAGGTGAAGATGGGAAGTGAAGTGGAAGAGGGAAGTTGCGGACAAACACCGTGACCATCCCATGACCTCCAGGGCTTGTAAGGTAAACCACACGTCACCTCCACTCCGCTACTGCACAACAGAAGAGATCTGTCAATTGTCCCCACCTGTCATTGAGAAACCTTGGAAGTGACCTGACGGTTGATCAGGCTTTGCTTTTGTTTTCCTTTCTTTCTTTTTTTTCTTTTTTTCTTCTTTTTTTTTTGACTTGTTCTACAACCTTGGAATGTTTACGAGGGTTACTCCGTAGAATCAGTATTTATACATACAATGGTAGCGTACATGACGACCCAGTCTAATCCAAGCTGGTGATGTACGGAGTAGTGCAAGCGGAAACGCCTTCTAATGCTTTCCTTGTAATGGTGATTGCCGACTCGATCTCGTCACAAGCCGGCGGGATAGTGTAAATGCAAATAAAAGAAATGGGAATTGAAAAACAAAGAGTGAGACAGGATCGAGTGATGGGTCGATAGGTTCGTATGGTTCGTCGGATCGGCCCAGGAAGGGGCCTAGATATGCCCTCGGAAGGAAATGTATAGCGACAGGACAAGTGAAACATGTCCATCTATTTGCGTCGCTGTTTGGGTCGAATGAATGGGTCTGCGTCTTTCTTCTTTCGCATCATCGGTGGCCGTGGTTTCGGCGGGGCCTAAATAGATTAAAAGTGGTACGAGTGAGCAAACAGATCAGAAACCCAGATGGAAACACTGAACCACGCTTACCTCTCCGGCTCTGCCAGCCGACGGCCCACTTGGGGCCCGGATTGCCGGTGCTGGTGGCTTGCCTGTCGGTGCATATGCTGGCCCATCGCGGGAAGGTTTGATGAGATCCTGCGTAGGGTTCAGTGTGTCAGTGGTGGGGATCCTATACCTTCATCCAATATATTAACTCACGCTTGGTGGAACCGGATTCCGAGGTCCAGTCGGAACATTAGAACCCGTCGTTCCTTTGGAGCCTTTGCCTTTGGGGCCTTTGGGACCCTTAGGCGCATCCGGAGCATCGGTGCGTTGTCGCATTGCCTGTGGAGCATCGGGTGCCGAGTCATTGCGCTTGCGCTTTTGTTGGTGAGCAGAATTATTTGGGTTCTGATTCTCGTTCCGGTGTTGATTGCGATACTGATTCTGCTGCTGATGCTGGCGCTGGTTCTGGTGCGGGTTCTCCTCCTTTTTAACTGGATTTTCAGTCGTTGCTTTCACGGTAGGTACCTGGGGATTGATTCTGGCAACTTGACGTTGCTGCTGACGCTCAGCGTTCTGTTTCCGGAGGTCCTCAAACTTGCGTTGCTGATGCTGTAGCTTCGACCTTTCGATCTTAGAGAGCGTGTTGGGCGGTGCTTTGCACTGAGAACTCAAGTGACCAATTTGACCACACTGAAGACAGAGCTCAGCAGTGCATCGAACTCTCGAGTGACCGGACTCTCCACATCGGAAGCACGTGCCACGCGACGCCTCTTGAGCTTCGGTGTTGTCGCAGTTGTAGGTAAAATGATCATTACTACCGCAAACTCCACAGTTCTTCGTGGTATCCAGACCCATTCTCCCACCCGACGGCCCTTCAGGCGGTGCGTTCGGAGCATCTCGGCTGGGTACCGACATCGACACAGAACGAGAAGCCGGTACAGCAGCCACCGAGGATTGTCGGGATATAGGCGGCGCTGGTGATTCTGCTTTCACCGAATCAGGAGTTTCGACCGAAGGCGCTGCTATGGGCGAATCAACATCAACCATCTCCACTTCTTGGTAGCCAGTAAATTGTGGTCGCTCGAGCATCTGAACAATGTTGCCTTCTGTATACACCTGACGCCCACGCGCGTCCTGGATGAGGCCATTCCAGAACTGTCCTTGCTGAAGGGCTTGCGAGTTACCAAGCACCCAGAGCGAAGATTTGGCACGAGTCAAACCGACGTTCATACGACGGATATCGGCCAAGAAACCGATGCCTTTGTTCGAAGCGCGAACACAAGAGAAGATGATGACTTCAGCTTCCCGACCTTGGAAGGCATCGGTAGTATTGAAGTCGACTTTGGTAAGAATTTCCTCGCCGTATCTAGCAGCGAACTGATTCTTCATTTCTCTGAGTTGGCCCTTGTACGGGGTAATGATACCGATCTTGCCTGCAAAGTCGTAGCTCTTCACATCCGTAATGAGTCGTTCGTATAGTAGCATTGATACTCGCACTTCGGCGTAGTTAATCAACGAGTGGCCTTTAGTGGCACTCGACTGCATGCCTTGAACGTCGAAGAAACGATAGGGACTCAGCAGATCACTTTGATGCCATGGGCGTCTTCGAAGCTTCGCCATGTCGGGGCCATCCTCAAGCTTGCCATCATAGAACGTAAGACTGGGGAAGCGGCTGATTTCTGGATGCATACGATACTGAACATCCAGCAAATGTACGTCCTTCGGATGATTCTTCTGCATACGAACGAAAAGACTTTGTTCGTACTGGAATGAAGAAGCCATCTTCGAGAGAACAGTAGGAGGCAATTGTTTGGGATCACCGACCAAAATACACTTGGAACAGCCATACTTCAGCGGAATGAGCGCGCTCAGCTCAATACACTGGGCCGCCTCATCGATAATGACAGTCTCGAATTCGACGTTCATACCCTGGAATATTTCGTGGCCGGAACCACTGAGAGTGGTACAGATAGCATGTGCACCGTCGATGACTTCTTGTTGGGCACGTCGCTTGTTGAGCTCTGCGTTTCGGGTTTGGGTGTGAAGTTGGTCTCGAGCTTTGTCGATATCCGTACTGAGTTGAGACCTTTTCTTCTTCGTCAACTCGAAATCGCGCTCGAGTTCCTCCGGAGCAGGCAGACCCTTGGCCCTACACTCGTCCAAGGAAGTACGGATCTCTTTGAAACGAGTATCAGTAGCCTTGTGCTCTTCGTAAAGCTTCTGCATGTCAACACCATTGCTAGAGCTGGTGCTCTTGTTAAGGCGTGCATTCACCATCTCGTCGAGAGTGACATCGAGAACTTTGGAATTGATGGCATCGCTTCGTCCCAAACGAACGACCGAGAGCTTTTCATGATTGCCATTAGCCGTCTTGACGCCTTCCTTCAAACGCATGACCAACTCGTCAACGGCAGCGTTACTCGGTGCACAGATCAGAATCTTCTTCCCTGGTACTTTGGGTTGGTTGGCATGGTATCCAGGTCCGATTGAAACAGAGGTTTTTCCAAGCACGTTTGTCAAAAGACTTCCAACAAGAGCTGTGATAGTTTTTGTTTTTCCAGAACCGGGGGGACCCTGGATCAGAGAAAATCCATCGTTGTCCATGGCGTGCCTGATAGCCCTAGCCTGGGCACGGTTGACAGAGTAGTTCTTCATCAATGGATCCAGCTTAGCATCTCCGTATGGAAGAATAGGTGAAGGCTTGGCTTGAACAACCTCGTCGCACAGATCATAGAACTGCAGAGCCATAAGGGCACCATACTCTCGCTCTACGGGGATCAAAGAGGTGATCTTGGTAGCCCAAGATGTTGAACCCGTGCCGAAAGAGGCATGGAATTTGCTATTTCCAATGTTCATCCGATACGTGACTTCTTGCTTGCCGCCTTTACGATTGATACCAGCCACACGCGCAAGTACATGTCCGGCATCAGGGTCCCCGGTGGGGTTAGACGAGCTGGAGAATAATACGAGGTCGCCTTCACCCATGCTGAAGTCTTTCAGAGGCATTCCAACCGGTTGCGTACTGAACTCAATCCATGCATCAACAGTCAAGCGGGACATGATCTTCACTTCAAAGGGACGGAAAGAACCTTCCTCTTTAGCCTGTTGGAAACCCTGCCAGGCCTCAAGGATCAACAAAGGCTCGAATGTACTCTGGTACTCGGTGGAGGTGCGGAAGGTATTGGAGACCAGAGTATAATCGGAGCGACCAGATGAAGAGGGGAGATCGCCGGTTGAGAAGAAATCCCAGGAAAGGATTGAGTGGTGGAGACTGGAAAGATCGGGTGCCAGGCGAGCACGCATATCTTTGATCGAACGATGGCGCTTGGTCTTCTTGACAGGTTGATGTTGCAGTGACTGCTTCTTGCTTAGCTCATAGGCGGCCACCGCATCAGGCTTCTTCGACTTTGCGCCAAACAGCTCCTTGTCCAATTCATCTTCGCTCTCTGAATCTGAATCTTCGCCAGAAGATACCATCATACTCTCGGCGGGGATGGCATGGTCTTTGCCCTTGACACCGATACCTTTCAGGCCTGAGCCCTGCTCGGCTGTCAGCTCCGCAACACCGCGCGCCGGAAGATTCTTCTTCAACCGCGCAGCAATTTCCAGATCACGTTTCTTCTTGGCTTCTTTCTCGCGGTCACGCTTCTCACGGAACGACAAGACACTGCGAGCATCGTCTTTCGGGCGCTGCGCAGAAACCTGTTGGGAAATAGTGCCAGGTCGCACTCTAGGAGCAACCAACGAGGACTTTCCAGCTTGCAGAGCTGCTTTACGTTTAGCCTCAGCCGCCACCCGATTTTTGTTGAGCTCCACGGAACGAGAAAGATCCAGAAGCTCGCTATCGGGAATATCGTCGAAGTCATCATCACTCGGGAGGGCACTAGCCGAGCGAGATAACGGGCTTGAGCGGTCCGACGATTTGGCAAATGCCGTGATAGAGCTTTGCTTTTTCAAGGCAGCGGTGGATGCTGTAACAACAGGCTTCTTATAGTATGCCTCCAATGAGCGAACCAGCTCGGCCTTGTCACGTGTAGTCAGGATAGTACGAATAGTCCCATTAACAGACACGCCCTCGATGAACTCCAACGCGTCCGGACGAACGGTAGTGACATCCAAGTTACTCAGTCTTCGCAAGAGCTTAGAGACCAGACCAACCAAAGTAGTAGCAAGATACTCATCCTTGAGCCTCAACCATTTCACCATTGCACTCATGGTAACAGTGGGAGGCTTCAGGAAGTTCTCCGACACCGACTTTTGACCAGGATCGGCATCTCCCACTGCACCAAGGAAGACACCATACTGGTCAAACAGGAAGTCGGCGAACTGGATCGTGTCTCGACAGAACTCAAGCATTACAGATTTGTCATTTCCCCGAAGATGCCAAGCCTCGGTCTCATTGAAGATAGTAGTCAACGCCTGCCACAGGAATTCCCAAAGTTTTTGCAAGGACAACACCTCGCGACGGTCGACAAGATTGCGTGTACGCAGCATACCAGTCTGGCTATTACACAGAATCTCTACGATATCTGTACCAGTGTGGAGCATCCGCGGAGCGGGTGCGAAGGTTTTCATATTGGAGATTCGGCGGAACGACCAACTCAGTCCGTACATAGTTGTCACGAATGTCTTTTGTAGCAGATAGGAAATGGCGTCCCGGCGAGCCGAGTGGCCGCTGAAGTTCTTGATCAAATCGACAGATGCTTGGTAGGTATGCACATCGGCGGCGAAGAGTGTCGAGATAAGAGCACTGCTAGTATCCTGGCTTTTAAAGAGCGATTCGAGGTGGTCTGGCCTGAATTCCGCGAGGCGTTCGATGATCTGGCAGGAGAGGCGGGTGAGGTTATCGTATGTTTCATTGAAGGTACCCTTCTGCTTTTCCTCGCCTTTCATCGGGAATTTTTCCAGGCCAACGAGGGGCAGGATTCCGAGCAAGGCTGCCTTCGAAAGAGCGGGATTATCCTGGTGAAGATGTTTGACAACCGCACCCCATATCGGCGGGGAATAAGTTGAGACTCTATGAGAGAGAGTTCCATGCTTGAGAATTACTTCGTAGTCACTTTTCAAGGACTGACACTCCAGGGCAAGAGTGTTGCGAACAACATCCATGCAAAAGTCAACGATCTCCTGTTGTCGGCTCTGCTCAATAGCAAATTTAGGCGTGTTCAAGATGACTTCAATGATATCACTGAGCACACCCATGGTAGTCTCCAGCACAATATGATCCACCGAGCTCCGTGAAGATTCATTGTCGGTAAATCGACGGAGGGTATGAAGCAGACTCGTAAGTCCAACATGGAAACAGTGATATCGGGTTAATTGGGGATATTGTGGATCTTGCAGGCGTCTTAATAATTGCAATGCGAGGAAGCGGGAGGCGGCCGGTGAGTGAGCAGGTTTCAAAGAAGCTAAGAATGGATCGATCCATGAAAGCATGTCCTTCATTGCTGATTTCTCATAAGGCTCGCCTTCGGTGGTTTGCATGAGGAAAGTGTTGAATTGTGTGTTGAAGAAAGTGTGTTCCATGAGAGCTTGCGGGGAAATTGTCTGCATAGCATCCCAGAAATCGACGGGGGCCTTCTCGAGGAAGGTTTGAATAGTGTTCAAGAGGAATCGCAGTCCCGGCATCGGAAAGCTCAAATGATCTACCGAGAGACGGAGAGGATCGATGTCAAGCCCGCGAAGGTTGTGAGTAATTTGCTCTTTGTCGAGTTTTTTGACAATCAATTGCATGCCACGCCAAAGACGTTGAATAACGGTGAGCTGTGGCGGCTGCATGGAACCTGCTTGCAATGCACTGAGAAGACCATCGCGAATCGCCCAGTCGAATTCCAGCGCCGTTGGAGGTCTTCCATATCGCGTCCAGGTGGAGATAGCCCAGTAGTGGCGGAGTTCGCTTGAATCGAAAAGGAAACGGGTGACAGCCGGTACATAATCAGAGATCTTCAACGTCCGTTTTGTTTGGATGAGTTTGAAAGGCTCATCGAAATGTTTTGTCAAGAGACTATCACTGCGCAGCATAGCCTCGCAACTCAGAGTCTCAAATATAGAAAGCAAGGCCGCCCTTTCCAAAACATCCAGCGCGATCTGCTGCGGGGGGACACTTTTTAATTGTTTTGTGGCCGTATTCAAGTTCCGCGTAATCCGCTTGACATCCCACTCATCGACCCGTTGAAAAAAAGCCTCGATATCCTCGTCCTGGTAGTCCATCTTAAGCTGATCCATGAGCCAAATTTTCCCCGTGTAGTATTGTTTGATACAGAGGTCGCATTTCTCCAGGTTTTCGTCGAGTTTCGTTAAAACCCAAGTCTGGAGTTCTTCGATGCCATCCGCATTGTATGCAAGTATGCGCATGCAAGAGAGGAATTTCTCTTTTCGTGCAGTTGCCTCAGCCACCTGCTCTTTGACACTCTTCCCTTGTTCATCGACATGTTCTAAGTCATCGTATCGGCCGTAATCTTCGTCGTGCTGGCGCGGGCAAAGGAGATGGGTGCCCTCCGGAAGGGCTTTAAGCTCTCTACGCAAGGACAAATGACGGTTAGCAGTGTGCGGTGGTAATTCCTAGGGACAAAGGAGACTCACCCTATCGCATCCACGAACTCCATGGCTAGGAATTCACAAAGAAAAGAGTTATTACGTTTTTTTCAACATCAGCTGACTGTCTTTCTTCTCCCATCGGAGTACTCCTAGCACATATCTCGTTCGAGGTTCCGAGTGATGCTGGTGAAATGGAGTGGGAGGAACAGGTGGGCGGCAACAAGGCTGGTGCGAAACGAGTCGTCAGAAATGAGGTGTGTGAGGAAAGAGAAATCCCCGCTGACTGCAGATAGAGAAATGAAACAACTTTCTCCTCCAGTCCAGAATAGCTGCTGCGGGGGCTTGCTGTCAAACAGATCAGATCGAATTCGAGAAGTGAAGTAAGTGGTGATTGATCATGCGTTTCAGTTTCTTTGTCTGATCTGAGATGAAACAGTGAGATACCACCAAAAAGAGGTAGATTGAGACTTTTCGCGAGATAAAGGGAGCTTAAAATTACACCGAGTGCCCACAAGCTCAAGTAAAGTGGCCAAGATGGACCCTGAAGCTGGTTGAACGAACAAAAATCACCAACAAACGCGGGCAGAACGCAGCTGCACGGGACTTGGGCGGTGAATGGCGAGCGCGACGCGCCGCATTTTACTCGACTGGGATTTAATTTATTTTAGCTAGAAAAGACTAAAGGAGTACTACGAACTATGCAGTTCATAGTTATGGAAAGCTACCTTCAACTTTACTTCTTTATCTGCAGGATAGAAGATCGCACATTGCACTATTCATGGGATATTCGCATTAAGTAACTCTCCTCATCGAGGGCATAGAATAGATTACATGAAGACCATTCCCGAGCAAAGCCAACAACACCCTTGAGAGAAAGGATGAATGAACCAGCAAATAGAGAGAAGAAAGGAGAAAAAGGAAAATGTCAAGCAAGATGACCTCGATATGAGAGGTGAGGGGAAGTTAAGACCCCGTGTTGAGCACAATAAGGGGAAAGGGAAAGATGGAGAGAGCAACAACGCTTTTATACAAAGAGCGAGAGCAATATGAGACATGCAAGGACAATAAGGAAAGGGGAACCGCCATGGGTTGCCATGTATAAAAGAAACGGGGAATAAGATAGAGCGGAAAAGCAAGAGAGGGGTAAGAAAAAGAAATAAGAAGGGTAAATGCGCCGAACCACCAACCGGGTGGAGTATACCAAACGCCTGCTTTCTATCGGGGGAATATCAGAGCTGTGAGTGAATATTGGGGGAGCGGGAAAGAAAACGAAGCGGATTACGAGAGAACAAAAACACCGCGCAGCATATTGCTCATGAGAAGATGGAACGAGTGCGATCAGCCTTCCAGCTCACACTCGCCCGCAAGAAGGGGAAGAGAGGTCGTAGTCATCAGAATAAGTCTATGCAAGACCGCAGGTGCGGTGCCTCAAATCACATTATGTGCAGGGGGCTCGCCAGGGGCCCGAAACGGATCTTGAACAATCTCATTCCCGTGACTGGATTCCATCCTCTGGAGCATGGCGGCGGAGGTGAAATCATTGCTTTGCTCGAAACTTTGCCTCACGCGTTCGAATGAATGCCGTGTCCGGTCGTGAGATCGCCGAACATAGTCCACAGATTGCGGCCGTGGGTTTTGGTCAAGGCTCGCGGTATAGTTGGTCCCATTGCTGCCGTTCTGACTGCGGGGGTTGTGGCCGTTCTGATGGACGGTCGCTGGTGGATAGAAAGGCCGCTCATCGTCGGGGATGCCGGAATCCTGCTTCAATTGGGGCTGAATCGGCTTGGCCAGCTCTGAAGAGGCCGCCGACTCGTCAGTCGAGGCGGCAATCCCGGCTTCCCCTTTTGGGGAAAGAACATCATCAACATCGTCCAAGTATTTGAACTTGCCGAGTGTGACCTGTTCGCGAATAATGTCAACGTCGAGAGGGAAAAAGACCTTCTGGATGGCATTGTAGGTGAATCGCGGTAACAAGGATATCATGGTTGTAATGAGCAAGACGACCCAGAAGCTGAGAGAACCGTAAACTTCGTATGCCGAATTGTAGAATTGTCCGGAGGCGGTGAAGCATGAGTAGATACCAGTCCAGAAGAAGATCAGTAGACAACTGATGGCGTTAATCAGGACGGTGAACCAATCCCAGCGGTAGGTATTCATCATGACGTAGATGTTGCTTGCAAGAACGGCACATGAGGCAATCAGAACACCCATGCGAGTACGATCAGCGATGTCGCGACCGCTTGCGGTGGCAAAGTTGGCTGCTTGGTAGAGTTGGTATGGCATGAAGAAACAAATAACAGACTGGTACAGGCCATCGGCCATGTACAGCCAGAACTTGAGCTGCGACCATTCCTTGCGCTCGATACCACGCATGTAAAGCTGAGGCACTGCAAGAGAAATCTTGTCATCGACATCCTGGTCGAAGATACCCATGAAGATAACTGGCAGAGAAGTGAATGCCAAGTTGACGAGAACGATATAGGTGTAGTCGAAGAGATAGGAGCCATCAAAGTCGTTGTATACACAGTACCAGAAAAGAGCAAATGTCCAAACCAAATTTTTGTAGAAGAAGTTGGCAGTGCACTCTCCTAAACGGCGGTAGGACCATCGTCCATGAACGAGAAGCAGACGTTGGAGGAATCGGAATTGTCCGATGGCGTAGTCAGAGGACATGACGGCCTGTCGACCTTCCTCACCAGCGATACCAACACCAACATCAGCTTCTTGAATCATGGCCACATCGTTGGCACCATCACCAATGGAAAGAGCCATGATATCCAGGCCATGGCGGACCATGTTGACAACAGCGGCCTTCTGGGAAGGACTGACACGACAGCAGAGAACTGCCTTACACTGCTTGCAAAGCAAGAGGAACTTTTGCTTCAATTCATCGTTAAGCATCAACTTGAGAGTTTCACCATCGACGATGACGGCGTGGGTAGCTTCAGGGGGGTGTGGTCCGCACGCGCAGCGATAAGCTCCTCGTCCGAACCAGTCAATCCAAATGTTTGAAGATGCTTATCGAGATCCGCGGACGCCTGATCAAACTGGCCTTCAGCAACGTTGAGGACGATAAGGTCCATGTCATTGTTCAGCAAATTGCAGGAGAAACCAATGTTGATAGCAGTCTCGACCTTATCACCGGTAAGAACCCACAACTTGATGCCAGCATCTGCAAGGAGTTGAATTGTATCCGGAACACCATCCTGAAGACGATCCTCGATAGCGGTTCCACCGAGAAGCATGAGCTCTTGTTCAATTTGGCTCGAGACCTTCTCCAGCTTTTCCTCGCGCATCTCAATGGCGGCGGCGGCGACGTCGTGTTCCCGGTTCCAAGCTTGATATTCTTCTTCGCTAAGAAGTCGGTCGGCAATACACAAGGTTCGGAGACCTTCCTTGGCGTATTCTTCCAGGTGCTCGGCAGTCTTGCGTCGGAGATCTTGTTGCTTGCCACGTGCCAGGCGGGAGTAGATGATGCTATCAGCACCTTTGCAGAAAAGACGAATGGTACCATCGGGCATGCGAATGATCGCGCTCATCCGCTTCCGAGATGAGTTAAATTCGAGGGTATTCAAGACAGTGTAGGTACGCTCTTCGCCCATGATGTTCAAGAGCAGATCGTCACCCGCGCGACCGAGGACTGTGAAGCCACAGTCACGGGCGGTGCTGACAAGTGCAGCCTCATCCGGCGATTGGGCCTTGAATTCAATTTGCGGGGGGTCACCGGGAGTGTGCTCCGTGATAACGGTATGACAAACAGCCAAAGCGAGCATGAAATGTTCCGCAGCCTTCTTCTGCTCCTCGCCAGACTGTCCGTTCATATCGGAAACGAAGTTTGGAGCGATGAAAGTCAAGTTCTCGTCCTTCAGATACGGGTTATCGTGCAAAAGACGCAACCCCTCCAGCATTTTCACGCCATTGGCTGCGATTTGGGCTCGGACTTGAATGGCCTCTGCATCAGCATCAACGCCTTCGCGACGCCGCATTCCGATCTGTGCTTCAGTGTACGCTTCGCCATATGACACGCCATTGATCGTGCATTTTTTGAACTCCATCACGTTTTGCGTCAAGGTGCCAGTTTTGTCGGAGAAGATGTACTCGACTTGTCCTACGTCATCTGAGATGTTCCACGACTTGGGAACACAATAAAGACCCAGCCTCTCGTAGTACATGTACAAATCACTGTGGATGAAGACGGCCTGGATGGTGCGAACAATTTCGAGCGAGATGTAAAGCGATATAGGAACCAAATTCTGGAACAGAATGACAGCCGTCCAGAAGGTCACAATACCCGTCACAGGAGGAGTACCTCCATAAGACCCGTAGTCGAAGAAATCCAACGACTTGTCTGGAGCGGCCCACGCGATACCGTTCACGATACCTGCGACCAGACACATGACGAAAAGGATGATGAAGTTGTAAATGACGTTCCAGTTCAAGTCCTTCGCCAGACGGGCACGCTTGGCAGGGGTTGCCCCGGAGTTGAGCATAATTTTGCTCTCCCCGCCGGTAAACACGACAACGCCAAGAACCCACTCAGTACTGCGCAACGAGCATCCACGAAGCAGCATGTTGTTGATGGTAATAGGTTCGACCATTTCCTTGCGGGGGCCTTCTGGGTAGTTAGGATCGCGCTGATCCCAGCGAATCGCACCGTTATAGGCGTATAGATTGGGGTGAGGCGCCTCGCTCTCAATAGTAAACTCGGACTTCTCGCAGTCACGGGCATGACGAACCTGGCGACCGCAGTGAAGAGCATGACGAACCTTCAAGTTGGTCTCGCCGTCCAGGCCCATGGTTTCGACGTAGCAGGCTCCATCGGGGTCGGAGGTGGACAGAATCACAATATCGGCGGGAATGGGATCCTCGTTGTACAAACGGACAAAATCACCGACTTCGATGTTTTTCCATGTGTCCCGCTTGAACCGGCCCTTACCGGGGGTCTGCTTGGACATGTCGACGACAGATCCTGTTTTCTTGTCAGGGTTGGTTGGAGACATCAGGTTCTCGCGGTTGGCACTATCGGGGGAAAGGAATTTGTTTTCGGTGTTGCTTGCGATCGGCCAGTTCTCACGGGCTTCGGGCTGAGGCGATGGAACGTCGGTCATTGGGATGGCCACCTCGCCAGGGGCCAATGAATTGCGGTGTGAGTACATTCCCGACTGGCGCGGCGTTGCTGTAGTCATGAATGAGTCCCGTCGGGCGGCATCCTCAATTTCCGTGTCTTCGCCCTTTTTGAACTGTGTCTTCATCCATTTGTATGAGGTGATCACACCGCGAGTGCATGACTTCTTGAAGCGACGCCATAACCCAATGCTGTCCTCGGTCGAATTGACATTTGTCCATTCGATAAGTCGATATACCGGTGAGTTGTTGACCTGGGTATCAGAAACGGTTCGCCCCCAGTCCTCGATTGCATCTTTAATTGCAGTAACCACGATAATGACAATCAAGGGAACGGCGTTCAGGCCGGGATTATTGGCACCGAAAATAGGGAAGAACTAGAAATTACAATTAGCGATGGGTCCATTTTAAAGCTCTGATGGCGATTGAGAGGGCAAACGAGGGGGTGGGGCGAAGGGTCACATACATTAAGAATAATAACGAACAAGAAGTAAATATTGGCGATGTTGTGGAACTGCAGGAAGATATTTTTGGGGACGAAGGTGAGTGCGGTATACTTGGCAGTTCGAATCTTGTTTCGTGGATAAACATGCTTCAACTGTCCTTCTTCGTCTCGTTCGGATTCAGGGACGGGGATGTTGAAGTAGATCGTTCGGTTCTCGTTTCCTTCCGTTTGTCCCTCGCCCACGGTCGAAGCATTATCGCCAGCGGAACTTGTCGCATTAGACTTTCGCTTCTCGTCTCTTATCTCGGCGCGTTTGTGGAAACGATCAATGATAGAGACTCGTTTCCGCATGCCGCCGGAGCCGGTCTGGCGCGTGGTTGCCCATCTTTGTCGCTTGGTTGGTTTAGATATATTGCTGGGGACCTCTTGTATATCGTTCGGCACATCAAGGTTGTTATTGTCCCCGGGGAAATGCACGGAAGCCATCTAGGCTACTGTTGCGCCCAGCGAGGGCATAAAACTTGACGGTGTTGTCTTGAGAGTACGGAAGCGGAGTACCATTCGACGAATTAAGCGGGAGTCTGATGGAGGGTTCCGGCGGGCGAGATTCGATTTGAAGCCGATTCTTCACGCGAGAGAGGCCGTCGGTAAGCAGCAGGTCATCTGGGGGGGCAATCGCAAGTAAGATGACAGAACGCGCGGATGTGAGCGGCTTCGAAGGGAATCGACGTAGAGTGGAAGGGGGGTGTCGAGAATTGACGGGAGGAAGGCGAATCACCCACGGGGGGGCCATGCAATCTGGAGATCGGAGGAGAGAGGGTGGTGGGGGAGGAGAAAGAGTAAGAAAGGGAGGTGTTTTTTCTCGAGGGGAGAGACCTGAGCAAAGGAGGAAAGTGAAAGGGTATCGACGATGTGAAGAGCTGGGGGTACTGTATGGTCACGTATTGTCATCGGGCTGCTGACATGCCGGCTTGGTCAGCACTGGCATCTGCCAAGGTTGGCAGTACTCTCTACATATAGTGATGTATACTAGTACAGAGTAGTGATGTGAGTGATAGTTTACTTGGTAGTACGTAGTATATCAGGTGTATATTTTGGTATATCTAGTATACTTAGTATATTTGGTAGTTACTAACTATTATGCTCAAGATAATGGACAGCATATCCTTGCACTCTATGCAAGTAAACAGATCGCCGCAGTGGACCGTAAGTCCGGTATTAATGGTACTGTATCGTACCAGCCTCGCCCGCTCTCCTCTCACAGCTGGTTCATCTAAATTTCTGACTGTGGCAATGGCAATGGCAATGGCAACGGCAACGGTAGACGGGTTGATCTTCGGCACGGATTTAAGAGTACTATAGTATACGGTTCAACTTCATGGTTCCGTAGATTTCCTCTTATGTCTGTGCTTATGTGGTTTAAGTTATTTCTGGATTTGGCCCCTTCTGCACGAGGGACACAGCCCTCGTATTCATACCTAGTATTCCATAGTATCCATACATACAAATAGTGCATGCTTACGAGCGGGTTATACCACCGTCATAGCACTCCATAGGGTACAGTTCTGCAACCCACTCTCTCCCTGACGCGCCCCATCTGGAACTCTGGAACTCTGGAACTCTGGATTGGGAACTTTGGAACTAATCTCTCCCGGCACTCTCGGGTCTGGGCAGGGGGAGTAGTGACAAGCCCCCGGAGACGGACATTTCTAATCCGCACGTCGGCTTTAACCACATGCCGTGCTCACCGAGATATGCATGTACATACGGAGTACATTATCATATATTACGGACTACTAAGCAAAGCATTTTTGCACTAAATACCCCCCCCGGAAGACGCAAAGGCCACCTTGCCGTTCGAGGCGAATATTCTCGTTGTCTCGGAGTCGGAGCAACGCGCCTGAAACGACCGGCGACACGGCACGAGCGTCCGGTCCACCCTGAGTCAGCGCACTAACTCCACTCCGTAGATTCGATGTGGAAGGTCTAGAGATCCTTCCATTGGTGGTTGTCTTGCACTCCATGTTGAATAATTCATCGGTTAGCGCAATTCTGGATCTCCAAGGGCGGAGCTCTGTCCATGCTTTCGCTTACAATTTGAGCGATGTCTGGGAGATATACCCCGTACGAGATGGGAGTATTGATCGATCATGTCTGCCTTTTGTTCATCTCATTCACCCTTCCCCTGCCCTCCCCCCTTAACCCCTTTTATTTCTGCCACGCGATGGATGCGCTTGCGGATCTTGGCTCGGGGCAGAGCGCACTCAAAATCCATGCATTGGCCTCCGAGCGGAGCGGAGTCCACTGTTGATCATTGTAACTTGCCGAGTCTGTTGGCTCCAGTCGAGCCTCTCTCTCGGTACCGGTGACCGGCGGTGATAGCGACTCGGAGTTCCTGCGTAGTGGGATCCGTACGGCCAGTACGGAGTAGTATGGAGTACTAGTAGCCTGGAGTAGTTGATGCCTAGACAGATGCAACCGCGTACTTCCAAGGTTGGTGCGGGTCAAATCTTGCAAGGAGAGATTGCAGGACATTGGCAGCTCCAACTTGAACGTCCAAAGTTGACATTGACAGCAATCAAAACATGACACGGCGTCGTCAGCCCGCGCGGATCAATCACGAACCATAGTGGAGTCAGGAGAGGGCGATTCGTAAACTCAAATCGGATCGACGACAATGCCCCTGAATCTCTGGCCGAACAAGTCTTGACAGATGCCCTACCAAGTCACTGTCGTTTCCAGCAAAAGGCGCGGGTCTGGAGTTGATCGAATGCAAGGCTACGTCCCTCGCAGGCTTGGGGTTAGAGTTCAAGTTGATATGACGGTGGGGTCCAATGTCACGGGTGTTACTAGAGTCCTTCAAGCTTAAGGTTGATGCTATTAAAAGCAATTTGAATTTGAAATTGATTTAATTATCATCTAATCATTCTAATGACTAAACATTGGCTTGAATAGACTTGCTATAAACTTCAAGTTTGTGACACTACCTCCAGCCCTGGAGGGTTATGGATGCCCAGGTGTAGATTCCTCAGGTATAATATATAGGGCAGTACTACTATTAGTAGTAGTATTCAATCAACATGACCCTCGGAACTTGATGTATACTACTCCATTCAATTTCCAAGATTCCAAGGTTCCTTGCACTTCTACTACTAGTACTTACTACTATTTAATATACTAGTACTAGTCTACTATGTCAACTGTAGTATTCAAGGCCACCTAGGCAGTGATTCCCGTTCAGCCTCAATGGTCAGGTGACTTCGCGCCGCGCGACGCGGACTCCATCTTCATTGCCTCCAGGGCTCTTTCAAGTTCAAGTTGCTTTCACCAATACCTAAATTTTCCGCCATGTCATCGAAATGGTTCAAAGACGTGCCATCATATTCGCCAATTTCGACAGGCCTGACCCCCGAGAAGAAACGCTCACATAAGGTCGACGATTCCCTCCAGGTTTCATCTCCACTATCCGATCCCCCGCCATCGTCCAGTATATCATTCCAAGGCTTCTCGGCCCCAACACCGACCCCGATTCCGGATTCCCCCAATGGTCCCGATGCCCAGCTGCATGCATCACTATCCAGAACCCTCTCTGATAATCCCCTGAGATCATCGGCACGCGAGGAAAGCTTCCAAAGTACCGATTCGACCGTTCCACCCTCTACTCTGGATAGTAGCAGCTCCCAGCGCATAATCAAAGGGGGCAAGGAGATCGTCATAAGCTCCGATGGCGAGGATACAGACTCCATCTCAGATCTTGACGATCCGTCTACGCTCTTTTCTTCGACGCCGGAGCCAAAGAAAGAGCCCACCGTGTCAAAGCCCCCCCGGCGCCAAAAAATCATATTTCGCTCTTCTAAAGGCACAGAAGAAGTATAAGAATAATATCGACGATATTGTTCATGACGCGGTGGATGACACCGAGATAGAGGCCAAAGTCGCCGAGGTCAAGGCAGGCTTGGCCCGATCTAATGGGGAACGAGCCACGTCCAAGCCTGCAAGAGACAACACAGCAATCAGCGAGCGCATGTTGAGCTCCGCATTAGGCGATACCCAAGAAGAAGATGGATCTGGACTGCAACGTCTTCTGAATGCTGTTCGGAGAACCGAAGCCCTCGACCACGACCGAGTCTGGAGATTCTTTGACCAAGTTCCGACGACGCCCGCCAGACTACAGTTTCCTAACGGTCATTTCCCGCCCGGATCCAAATTGGCAGCGCTTAGAGGTCAGCCACAGAACAAAATCCAATTGTATCCATCGCTAACTTAAGTCAGAGCCTGAATCTCGTGTGCGTATGATTCAATCGGGCATTCTCGAATGGGCGTCTTCGCTAGGACGTTTACCAAACGAGTTCATTCTTTGGCTTTTCTGGTCCGGTAAGTTTCCCGAATTGATGACTGCTTTACAGAACTAACCGTTCTACAGTTCCAACCGAGCCACGGGAGGAAATAAGGAAAGCCTTTTGTCGAATCATCGTGGTATGTCCGCCCCAACCTGATCTCCGTCCCTCATACTAATCGACAGGCAGAACACCCCTCCCAAGTGTATTCAATCGCATATTCATCCCGACCACATTGACTCTCTCTTCCAGCAATTGGGAGCTAAGCCTCAAGCCTTAGATCTCTCCAATGTCGTCGAAGAATCCGCTGATCGTAAGACCTGTCCCCGATTTGTAGTGGGCTCATGAATATACTAATTTCTTTCAATTAGAATCCCCCTCGGACTCCCACTTCAAAGACCGTCCAATTCTACTCTCTGTTTTTAGTCTGCTCCAAGATGCCTCAGAGCTGTAAGCCTCAACCAAACCCAGCTCATCGGGCCACCGCTCACCATCTTTTAGGTTCTCACTTGATGTTCGGGCGCATGCGATCCATATTTTGTTACGGATTTCTCTAGACAATTCATTGACACAGGACTTTACTATTCATACAAAGCTACAGAGTGCTTTGACCGCTCTGCTGGAACATGTTTCCGAAGCGGAGATAGATGACATGGTATGCACGCACTTGATCATGAAAACCCGAGGAATGGCTGCTAACTGAATATCAGGAGCGTCAGCTTGGTACAGCTCTCTACGACACCGTAAAAGACCCACAGTTCCAATGCCGCATGATACAACATATTCTCCCCACCTCACCCTGGATCTCGCTTCTGCGATATCGCCTAGCTGTTTCATTCCTGCTTCAAGAGCCAACACCCCTCACTGAACCAGTTGAAGAGGTTCTCGACCTCAAACGGCTTACTCATATCATTCGCGACCCACGATTTCAGATAAATATAAATATTGGGACAAGGGCCGAGTCCGAGTCCGATTATGGCGAGCTAATCGCTCTCACCCAGCTTTTGGAAGTGGCCCTCAACAGCACACTCTATGATCTCAGATACAAGGAGCAGGACACCGAAAAAGAGTTCAATGCCGCTATTGATAAGCTTGCAAGCCAACTCAAGACGAATTTTAGCTCCATGAAGGAATGCGGAGCATCGCATCTCAAACGAATGCTGGCGAAGGGAGCACTGGAAACCTTGCATTACCGACTTGTCTACTCAGTTCGATCTAAGCCACCACCGAAGAAAACACCCTTCCAGATACATGCCAAGGAAGGAACCAGCATCAATTCTTACTTCAATAAAAAGGACACTGGAGGGACAAATGGAGATACCACTCGGATACCCATACGGGGGGGCATGATTATACGGCATAGCTTCGGCTAGCGTTGTTTGGATGCCTTGCTCGGATATATTATACCTCTTGCATTGTTGGAGTAGGAGGATGTTGAGATACTGTTAATGACCGCAACGATTGATGATTAGAAAGGCGAGCAGCATTTTGTTTACAAGCAAATATGACGAGAATTTCTGAAAAGTATCCGGAAAAAGAATCAGATGAACGCTCAGAGAGATTGGACCAGAGTATCAAGTAAGGTCAGTCATGGGATGAGATGTGCAAAGAAACCTCCCTCTCTATGGAGACAGCGAGAAAGTAGAAGGAGCCCGAACTATAAAACAACGAAAACACCTGGCCACGGCTCCCGGGGAAGAACCATCAGCCGCGCGGGAGAGAATGTATAATATATCGAAACAGGATTTGTTTAGTCGTAGAATCGGCGGTTCTCGTTCTTTCCGAAGAGCGTCTCACGAACGACGGGGAGAGCATCGATCTCCAACAGTCGCAGGCGTTCCTCGAAAGTGTTGTTAATCTCGATCTTGCCCTGTCCACCAACAATCACCACACCACCAGCACTGTATTAAGGTAGTTAGAATTGGTGTCATACCAACCAAAAGAAACCCCCAAAAAAGAGAATAGCAGGGATATATGGGAAACTTACGATCCCTCCGGCAAGGGCTCGGACTCATCAACAGAGAGGGAGATCTCTCTGCCAGTATTCTTTTCGAATTCCTTCGCAGCACCCTCGATAGCCTTCTTAGTAACATCGATATCCTTCTTGCGAGCGCGAATCTCGGCCTTATCCTCATTCAGGAAGTAGATGCCCTCGACGATGAGACCCTGCAGCATAACCTCATACTTCTTCTTGTCACTGGCGGCAACGGTGGCGACCTGATCCCTGGCCTTCTGGAAAAGATCGTCCAGAAGCTCCTGACGACCACCGAGCACGCGGAGGCGGGTCCGGTTGGCCAGAGTCGAGCGGGTGATCTGCTGGGACATGGCGGCCTGCTTGAACTTCTTCTCGTAGAGGGTATCGATGGAGGCGGTCTCCTGGCGCACAAGCTTGGACTTCTCGATGGCGAATTCCTCGTCGGCCTTGAGTTGGATCTCGCGAGCCTTCTCCATGGCTTCTTGTCGGATGAAGGCGGTCATCTTGCGGAGCTCGCCCGCGACCTGGGGGGGATCGGAGACCACGGGGTCAGTTCAGGTTGCAGGGAATGCAGGGTGGTATTGCTGGGAGTTACCTGATCATCTGAGAGGGCATGACTTTGCGACATGGTGAATATGGGATTGTGGTTGATGATTAGGAGGGGAAGAGGTGTGTGGGTGGTGGTTGAAGTTGATATAATGTGAAGGAGGTGGCAGTTGTGGTGGAGAAGGGAAGCTCTCCTCTCTCCGCCCACTCCCTCTCTCTTCCTTGCCGCATCCAGTTGCTTCAACTCCTCCCCTTCATATCTCCCCCTCCCCCGCCCTGCTTTTGTCTACCCTTTGCCCTTCCTCCGAGTTTGACCCTCACATAATGGATTCGGTACTCCGGTAGTCGTCCGGCTTCTGCGCTTCTCGCTTCTTGCTTCTCGCTTCTCGCTTTTCGCTCCTCTCCACTGCTTGCACTCGACCGATGCATGATACGTCAACTTGGTCAAGATGGGAAACCTGGGGAACTTGTCGCCACAGGGCAGTGTCGCCGTGAGTAAAAGAAGCCTTGAAGAAAAACAAATAAAGGTGGACGGTCTTACTGACAACCTTACTAGGTCGGCATTATCGTGGGGCTTATCTCAACCAGTCTGCAGGCCATCGGACTCACTCTCCAACGCAAATCCCACCTACTTGAAGACGAGAAACCAATATACGATGCGCGACGTCCTCCATACAAGCGTCGGCGATGGCAAATAGGGATGTCCATGTTCGTCATTTCCAATATTGTCGGCAGTACGATCCAAATCACTACACTTCCACTTCCGGTCCTCTCGACTCTTCAAGCGGTCAGTACATACTTCTTGGTTATTCGGGGATCGTACGACGCAAGCTCAGTGGGCTAACAGGAGTTGGGGGAACAGTCTGGGCTAGTATTCAATACGATTTTTGCCACTCTCATTCTCGGCGAACCTTTCACTCGTTACTCCTTCGCCGGCACTCTCCTCGTCTGTATCGGCGCCGTGTTGATCGCGACTTTCGGCGCTATTGGAGAGCCTGCGCATACCCTCAGCCAACTCCTCGAACTTCTGAAAGGCCGTCCATTTTTGATATGGATGGTTATGACCCTTGTCTTGGTAGTCATCATTCTAATCGGATCGAAGCTTTTGCGAAAATGTGTTCCCGGATCCCGAGCCAAACCGGTCGCGGGTGGTCATTACACACCGCATAACCTGCGGGCACAGAGTCGCATCAAACTTTTCCGGGGCATGTGCTATGGCGCGGTCAGCGGTATACTATCAGCCCACTCGCTGTTGCTGGCCAAATCAGCGGTGGAGCTTCTAGTGCGCACGATCGTGGATCGCGTGAACCAGTTCAATCGTTGGCAGTCATGGGTGATTTTGCTGGCTATGATCTTCTTGGCCCTGACCCAGCTTTTCTATCTACACCGTGGACTGAAGTTGTGCAGTACTAGCATTCTATATCCGTTCGTGTTTTGCATTTACAATGTGATCGCCATCATGGATGGTCTGATCTATTTCCGACAGGTCTCCCAGCTTGCAGGTATTCACGCAGGACTGATCGCACTGGGAACCGTCATTCTTCTCGCGGGTGTCCTCTGCTTATCCTGGCGCCTGGAAGATATCGACAATCATGCTGCCGTCACTGTTGTGGGGCCTACGCAGACCGGCCTTGGACCCGGTATGGCAATCGTTGAGGAGCACCCAAGCTCTCCCGGCCTGCTGGATGGCCGAGACGACGAAGAATCCCGAGTGGGAGAGCGAGAGCCTCTCCTCCAGGGCACCATCCGATCTCGACATCTCTCCTCGTACCAGCGTATGCGAGCACCCAGCCTCCCGCTGATCCTGCCTAGTGACCGCCATGAAGCGGCAGATTTCAACGCAGCCTCTATCTGGGCCGAACTGGATGACTCCGACTACGACATGGCAGGCCCCCATTCACGTCCCGAGCGTCCACGCAGTTCAAGCAGTGGTGCAGCGTTAAATGGACCGATGCGCGGCCTTTCACGTCACTCTACCATTGGTCCAATCCCGCAACATCGGCAGCGAGGGAATCGTCGTTCGGCGCCACCAAGTCAAGGCAATACCGCTTGGCGTCGAGCTTCCGCGCCTTTATCAGCATTATTAGGAGGTTCCCAGCGCAGACGTCGCCTCATCTCCAGCCACCTCACCTCGTCCAGCTCACAAGAAACCAACGGGTATGGAGCAATACAGGAGAATGGGGTTGATACTATCGAGCCAGACGAGACCCCTACCTCTCGACCCTGGCAGGACTCAACAACCGGCGGACTTCTCGCAGGCTCGAGAAGAACATTTTTGGGCGCCTGGCAACAAGGACGGAATTACCTATCTCAATGGAGAGGCACGAGCACGAGCCCGAGCCCGCGGGCGGGTAATCGGACGGGTCGGATCGAGAATGACGGCTCATCATCACCTTTATTACCACGTGTTGAAGCCCATCCGCCATGGGCTCACTCCCACGAGCATCCAGACTCACCACCTTGATCACTCTAGATTCCCGCAATACCTTCACCATTCATCCTGCATGCTACCACCACCTTATCTAGACCCCAGTTTCACTTCTCTTCCTTCTCTTCACTTCACATTTGATATTGGAAGATCCATTCTAAAGGCCTCGTTCTTTCCGCCATGTACAGTAGGGATCAATTGAGTCCCACCCACCTCACACCACGTCACACCACATCTTTATAGAAGATATGAAGATGCTTCTTTTTGTCCTTTAGCTACGATACCACCGTTTCTTTGTTATATACACGCGAGGAAAGGATTTGTGAACAACACATATAATAATTGCTGAGATGAAACAGTGCACTGGTATTACCTAGCAACTAGTAGCAAGAGTGTAATAGAACTAACCAAGTCTACGAGTACCTGTGTTCCTAAGGATTAGATAGCAATGGCATATCCAATAATGGTCATAAAATAAACCTAAAGCCTCATTTCATTGAAAATCAAATACATGGCAGCCTCAGGTCTCGCATAAGACATAAGTAACCGCACCAGCAAGCTGTAGAGAATAAGAGATACAGTTCATTCCAACCCACCGACACAATACAAAGCCGGACTACACCGAGGAAGTACACTCAAGAAACAGGGTTGAGATTAGACTGAGAGTGAGAAAAAAAAGCGATGGAACATAATACCTTGGGGAGACAGATACAGACAGGAAAAGAACTTGGCAAAAGGAGTCAAGGGCAAGGGCAAGAGACGAAAGACGAGAGACGCGAGGGGAGAAGCAATAAACAGGGTCAGTTAATGGGTCATATGGAGGGGGTAAGTAAAAGGGTTAAGACGAGGGTAAAAGAAATGATAAAATGGAGTAAAAGAATAAAGGCAAGTTAAAGAACAACCATTGAAACCAGAAACACCCTCCAAGGGGCTGGTGAACCACGCCGACAGATCAATGCACCACGAACACCACCAACCTCAGCCATAGTGTGTGTCTAGCTAGGTAGAAGGGGACAAAGAGGGGAAATGGGGGAGAAGAAAACCAGATCATAGCCAGAATAGCGATAGAAGATCCAGATTTTGCAGTTGCTTGCGCTCGTGATCTCTCTTATGATTTTTCGTTTTTGGACAGGATTGGATTGGGGGATGATGTCTTTCTCTGTTTCTTTTTTTTTTTCGCAAAATTTTTGAGGGGAGTAATTCCTTTCTGTTTCTTTTCCTTCGATCGCGAGAACGTTCCATCACTCGAAGCAAGAAGTCGAAGATGAGGTATTGGAATGTTGGTTTGGGTTTGTCGCTTGGGACGCTTTGCCCTTGAAGTTTGAGACAGGGACGTCAAGCCGTTTCCAGGGTAAATGTACACTTCACAAATCGGGAGCATAATATTGAGCACACACACACACACACACATACACGCATCTCCG